GTCGGTGATCTTGTCCACGGCGTTGTGCCACTCGCAGTAGGGCATCCGATTCAACTGGAACTGTATGTCCACGTCCAGCTCCGTGTCCGCCTGGAGACCCATCGCCTCCACGCACTTGGCCGACAGCTTCAGGTAGATGACATTCTTTCCCTTGTCCTCGATGAGGGCCTCGTACACGGGACGCAGCTGATCCGCCTTCGACTCGTTATCCTCCGGCTTGGAGATGTACACGCTGCTGCAGTTCGACAGAATCAGCCGGCCCGGCGACGTGTCCTCGGAGATGTCCTTGCCCAGGCGCATCAGAGCAAAGAGCTCACCGGCCAGCGAGTACTTGGCCGTGCTGGTGGCCATGCCGGCCGGCGTGAGGATGTAGTTGGAGGCCACCGTCAGCCTGGTTCTCACATTGTAGCGGGCTATCTGTTCGTAGCGGGCGATCTCCTCCACGTTGAGCAGCTCGTGGGTGCGGGACCGATAGTTGTTCTGCGTCAGCCGCTTTTCCAGGATGGTGGACTGCGTCAGGGTGAAGGTGGCGGCCCGGGGGCATGGATAGCGCTCCAACAGCTCCCGCTCGTGCTCGAGATCGCTCAGATAGGCTTCGGTTTTCAGGTGCGTGCCAATGGTGGTCTCGAAGCGCGTCAACTGCGTGTTGGCCACATCCCAGCGCGTGGCCGAGCTGTTGATGATGTCCCGCTTGATCTCCTCGATCTTCTCCGCATCGTTCACCGGCAGCACATCCACGCAGAGATGGCGCACCAGCAGGGGCTCCTGACCCACGTCGAAGCAGATGGCCTGCCGAAATGTTCCATAGATCTCCGTGTGAAACTCCACCGTAATCTCGTGGGTTAGCGTGGCGGCCTCCTCGCCAGAGGCTTCTGCAGGAGCCGACGATCCTGATACCCATTCCTGGTCCGACTTCAGCTCCATGACCGACTCCGTGGGCTTGCTCTGCCTGATGGTCTTCAGAGCAAAGTGGTTCCGATGGGCATCCTGCAGCAGAGCCACGGCCTTCAGTGGCTTCTTGGTCTCCAGCTGGAAGAGCCACTCCCGCTTGGAGGTCTTCGAACTGATGCTGGTCACCAGCTGTTGCTCGCAGTGCGCCTCCATGTCCGGCACTCGTTCGCACATCACCCGTTCGGGTGCCGTCGCCTGAATCCAACGCTCCAGGACCTGCTCCGTGTACGACTTGCCGTACAGCTCCTTCTCGCAGGCCTTCTGGACGCGCATCCGCCGGTACTCGAAACGCTCCTTCCACTCGTTCAGCTCGTCCTGGCCGTGGGCCTCCACGCACTGCGCCCCATAGTGGCAGGTGTGCGCCTCGCTAAACGTCTCGCACAGGGAGTAGGTGTCCAGGGTGTAGCCTCGGGGCGGCGGTCGCCACTTCCAGTCGCGTCCTAAACGATGGGGCAAAGCATTGTACTTTTTCAGTGATTGGGGATTCATGTTGGCAGTGTTTTTTTTCAAAAATATATAGAAAAGTATGTCTAGGGTGTAGAATCATTTCATTTATGAGGCTTCGAATTAATTTTTTAAGTTTTTTAAAGGTTTTTTTAAATATTTGATTAAAATTTAAAAAAATAAATGAAATGTTTTAAAGATTCTACAAAATATGATTCATTTTGTAGGAAATCCTTTCCAGAAACATGCTTTTTTTTTAGTTAATTACTAAACTAAACTATAACTAACTAACAAGACCCCTTACTCACCCTCATCACTCATTATGACCTTCTGGTGGGCCTCCGTCTGGCAGTGCTGGCGCAGCTCATTCCTTGTCTGGAAAGTGATGGCGCAATAGCTACAGGTGGTCGAGGGCGTCGTCTGATCGCCTTGATCTGAGCCAGATCCCGAGACCGATCCCTCGCCAGGCTGGTGCTTGCCGGCGGTCAGCTTCATGGCAGCCAGCAGGTCATTGGTCTTGTAGAGACTTGTGCTGGAGCTGGACATGGTGCTGCTGCTTCCGGTGCTGGAGCTGCTGCTGCTGCTGGTAGCATAGTTGCCGCCAAGGCCATTGCCATTCTGCTGTTGTTGTTGTTGCTGCTGTTGGTGTTGTTGCTGCTGCTGCTGTTGCTGCTCCCGCTTCTTGAGACCTTTGTTGCTGAGCAACTTGCTGTACTTGTCCAGTGGCAGATTATTGGTGGCCCAGTGGTCCAGCTTGGTGTCCAGTATGGCCATTTCGTCTTCGAGACGGGCATGCGGGATTTTCTGGGCCTGCGACTTGTGCTGGCCGTTCATGATCATCTGTATGATGGACTTGTACCGCTCCAGGGTCTTCGATATGTCCGAGTATATCTGTTGGCCGCTTAGCTCGTTTATCCACTTGCTTAGAAAGATCTCAGCATCCTAGAAAGGATGATAGGCGATTAATAAACGACTAGAATTATATTCTGGAAGATATCCACTTACCCCGTACTTGTGCATCTTGAAGAGGGCGTGGACGAGCCAACGGCGTGCTCGAGAGACACTGGCCAGGCACTCGGTCTGCTCGGAGAGCAGGGTCAGCACCTTGTAGGCGTCGGCCAAGCAGCCCTCGAACTTTCCCATCTCCAACAGGCATTCACAGCGTCCCAGCAAGCAGGCGATCTGTTGGTCTTTTTGCGCCCGCGTTCCTGTACTCGAACCGGAACCAGATCCCGCTGCCTGGGCACTCGAGCCGCCAGGTGTGGGGGTAATAAGCTGGTCGTAGAGAGCCACGGCCCGGGCCCAACTTCGTCGCCGGACCATGTCATGGGCCTGCATCTCCTTTTCGGCGGCCATCGTTCACTGACAAGAATGATGATGGCTTGGTTGGGTAGGTTTATCCGGATGGTCACTCATGCATGTGTCGGTGTCCGGGGTTGTCGCTTGTCTTGATTGCTCGTCTAAGTTCTATGGTAATTCTACTGCAAATGGATTTAGAAGTTAGTTGTGGTAATACAGTGATTAAGTTTAGTAACTATACTTACATAAGTTAACAACTGTGGGTGGTTAATATTTAAAGATCGTTTCTCGTTTTTTTTTACATTAATGGTTCAGATACTTTGCGGGCATTATGTTTACTAAAAAAAAAACAATAGTTTTTATTAGACAATTTTAAGAAAATAATAAAATAATTATATTATTCTACAAAACAACAACAATCAGCACATAATTTTCGTTTTTTAAAGCCAATTGTATAATTTAAAGGTTAAAACCTTTTCTTTTATTTATTTATTTTCACAGATTTTTAAGATTATAGACTTAAATCAACTGCCAGCTTGTGGTTTGTGTTATACCGGCAACAGTTGCCTCGAAAAGCTGCTAAATAATAAAATAGAATCGGCTTCCTGCAATTCCAATCCCTCCAAGACTGCCCAAAACAGAATTTGTTTATATCTGGCGGCCAGTGGCAGAAGTCCAGAGCTTATCGGATCACAAACAATTGTGTATATGGGTATTATAGAATTGCTACCCAGGTATGTACATAAAATATATATATATATTTCTTTATATATATATATATATGTTTGTCGTAAACAAACGAAAGTGTTATCCACCAATATTCATTTTCCCTTTTACACAATTTTCATTCTAATTCGGTTACGCAAAATTTCATAAGAGAGCAATTTTCAGTAGCACCGGCTAGGCACCCTAGGGCACCCACCTAGAAGGGATGGCGGGGGCTGACCCGAGGATGGACTTCATGGCTACTGGGTGGCCGAGGACGCACTCGCACTCGCAAAATTCGACCAAAAATTTGTAAGCATAATTAAAAGTAATTTTTTGGCTTTTTGGAGGAGGTGCCTGGTTGCTGGCTATGCGCTTTTTTTTCCCCCTTATTGTTGTTGTTGTTGCTGTTTCCTGTTAGTGTGTGTGTGTGTGTGTTTCGTTTTTATTTATATGCGGCCTGGCATCGGGTGTTATTTACATTAAATGGCGAAACGTCTGCGGTAAGCAATTGCACTTTATCAAGAAAGTATACACCGTACTATTATTTAATGTTATTTTTTGCCCTTTTCTTTTTATATACATATGCAGATTTTTTTCTCGACCAGGCCATTTCGTATTGGGCTACTTGCAGCCCTCATAGCGAACTCTGGCCGGTAAATTTGAGTTATTAGCATAGTTTAAGTTTCAGGGCAGCGATGAACAGTCATTGATTGTTATTTTCCACAATACACGCGAATTTACGGGCTTTTATTTTACCATTTCTTTTTTTTTGCTTTTACGTGCTAGGCACAGCAGACAGTCGGGAGTGTTGGAAAACACGAAGAACCATCGCATTCAAGTATCGCATGTGGCAATTGGAATCTTAAATAACCTCATTTTTACCAAAAATAAGTAAATTCCGAGTTATACACAATAAATTTAATGAAATTTATTATTCATAATGTGATATTGTTAAAATACAGGCATCCAATTAATCCAAACAATATGAGTTTATCGGCTGATCGCGCTTCACAACACCAACCGCCTGTTTGACAAAACAACACTGTCCCAAACACGATGATTTTGCCATATAAAAACGGCAACTTATATGTCCACAATACATGCAAGTGCAGGCAATGCACTTTTATCTGATTAGTCAGTTATTTATGTATATGGCTCGTTAATCATTCCGCATGGCCAATGGCCACCGGACGATAGCTCAGAAAAGATTATAGCAAGTCAGCCAGCCAGCTGGCGAATGTAGTTAGCGTTTGCGTTTCTTTTTGTTATTTTACTTGCTTCTAATAGCCATTTGTTACCTTTGAACTAAATCTTATTGTTTATACACTATTTTCTAATTATATTTTACATGGTTAAGCACAAACTATGAGAGAAAATGCACATCACAATCACGTCGAAAAATGTTAAAAATAAGTTATGTATGTATGTGAGGAAAAATTCGCAAAATGTTGCTCCAGTGTTGGCTAACGTGGCCACAAAGTGCTGCCAATTTCCGGAAATGTTTAACCCTCGAGCGGACCAGGGTGTATTCTTTAATGTATTTAATTTTTAAATAAGCTCTAGTTGGAATTATAAAATTTATTTATTTTGTTTTCAAATTTACTTTAAAGTTCTTTATTCGAAACATTTTAATTGATTTAAATACGTTTTAAACAGGCCAAGGCCGTCTCAATGCTCCCGCTTGTGGGGTGGCACATAGACCTGCTGCTGCTGGGCCTGGCGATCGCTCCGAAAGCGTGAATGTGGATGCTGCGCCGGCTGCTGGCTCTGCATCTGCTGGTACGATGGAGCATTGCTCAGCGGCCTGTTCTGTGCATCCGTGATGGGAAGAATGTCTAGCTTCAGGACCTCCTCGTGGTTGCCATAGCCCAGAAAGAAGACCACGCAAGTTTTTTCCGAAACTCCCGTGATCTCAGCCTCATAATACTGCAATTCGAAATGGAAATGAGACTCTTTCCATCATAGCTATGGGATGATACTCACCCTTCCATCGTCCCAGTACTTGGCCATGCACAAGTCGCCCTTCTTCCACATCCAGGCATCGCCGGGCGTCATACCAAAGTGATCCCTGGGAACTGCCTGCGGCCCTGACACAGCCGGAGGTGCCTGGGGATGAGGATGAGCATTAGTGGGAGGGCCAGGAGCCGAAACAAAAGACGCCGCTTGAAGCTTTTGCAGCTGCTCCTGATGCTGCTGTTGCTGGTTGGCCACCCCCACGCCCTGACTCTTCAGCAGGCTCATGGCGAACTCGTTAGCCTCCTTGCTTTGGAAACCCATGATCTTGCTGGGATCATAGGTATACCCGTTGGGCAACTGACTGTAATTGCTCTGAGAATTCTGACGGTGATTGTGATGCTGATTCTGCTGCGATTGCTGATTTTTCTGATTCGACTTCTGCGTCGGCAGTGGCGCTGGCGGCTGTTGCTGTGGCTGGACTTCCGATCCCGTTGCCGCTCCTCCCTGACGGTTGCCTTGGCCCTGGCGGCGGCGATTCTCACGCTTGGGAGCACTGCTCACCTTGAGATTGGCCGTCTCCTCGGTGACTTTGCTGAGGCGAGCACTGAAATCCTCTCCCGACTTGACGGAGCCTGGAATGGTTGATGCCCCTGAGCTGCTGCCTCCTTGCTGCTTGCGCCTGTTTCCATTGGCATTTCCATTTTCTCCTCGATTGGACCCACCACGATTGCTGCCTCGATCGCTGCCACGTCTGTTTCCAGCCTGATCCTTTCCATTTGTAGTCTCTGACTCTGTTTTCACCTCGGCAGCACTCTTGCCGGGAGGATTATCCAGCCCATTCCTATTAGTGGCCTTTCCTGCCGACTGTTCCGGCTTGTGGCGTCCTGGCACCCGATCGTTAAGGGCACCACCACGATCTCTTGGCGGGCGCTCTTCCCTGGGAGGTCTCTCTTCCCTAGGAGGTCTCTCCTCCCGATGTGGCTTTTCCTCCCTCGGTGGCCGTTCATCTCTCCCGCCACCACGATTACGTCCTCCACCCCTGGACGATCCTCCATGGCCACCACGGTGGGCTGCAAAGCTGCTCGATACGTTATTCTCGAACCTGGAACGATCGCCAAACTTTCCACCTCCTCCTCCACCAAGCGATGGCTTACTGTCTGGTTCACCGAACCTCGAGCTGCCGTACTGCTTGAAGGGATTATAATGATTGGCAGTGTTGGGGGCCGCTGGAACCGAAGCAAAGGTTTCGGGAACACTTGGGGCTGGTGCCTCTGAGGCTGGTAGCTTGGTGGTAAGGAAATCAAAGAGCGTGGCGTTGGCTGCAGGCTTTGGCGCTTCTGCTTCGTCCTTGCTGCTGGCTCCTCGCTTCCCCTCCCGTCCAGGACGCTCTCCACGCCCAGGCCGACCCATGGATTCTATGGGACCCACGCCACCTGCCTCCTTGCGCCTCTTCAGGTTGAACAGAGCACGCTCCAGGTTATTTCTAGTCGCGTGCAAGGCACTGCGAGCCTCATCCTCCGTGAAGCCCTTGTCAAGAATCTTTTTGATGTTGTGATCCACAATGTTCTGTCCACCGCCGCCGAATACTTTCTTGCCACCCGCCTTGGTGGCCTCCGCGATCGCCTCGCTTCGCATGGCATTGAACTCGTCGTTCTCTTTTACGGGCTTTTCCTTATCGCCAGAGGAGCCCAGACTCTTGAAGTTTCTGTCGGCCGTGGAGTCGATTTTCTTTCCAAAAGCCACCCAGGGCGGAGGAGCTGAAGTTCCACTCAGAGGTCGGCCACTGCGGGCGTACTTCAACATGGTCCTGGCCAGATCCCACTTTTCGTATAGCGCATCAACACGGCCTCCCAGAATCTGGAGTTCCGAGGAGCGCAGCACCACGAATCCCTGAATCAACTGAAGCTTCTCGGCCTTAAAATAGACTTTGGTGCCGGGCGCCACATTCAGACTCAGCTGCGGCACCGGCTCCAACTCCAGGGCCTGTATCGAAGTCTGGCCATCGCTCAGATCGAGCTGCAGAAAGCGAGGCGCCGCCTTGGACTCCTCATTTGCCTTGGGCGCAGATATGTTTCGGATTCTCTGAACCTGCAGGACAATCCGACCGGGCACTGAGGCATCCTCTCGTTTCGTAGGCAGTGCTCCTCCGCCAATGTCACGAATATCCCGCTAAAATCAACAATAAAAACAAATAAATAATTGCCTCTGCCGGTTCGCCTACTTTCTTACGTTTAGCGCCTCATCAATAATTTTGCGGGGCTCCTCACATCCCACTGCGGTTGACAGCACTTTGAGGCCCTCATCCGTAAAGTACCTGCAGTTAACGGTGTTTACTCCTTAATTCTTGATAAATTAAGACTCACTTACCAGCCACTTTCCCGTAGTTTCTTGCCTAATTCCATTTTTTCATGAAAACCTATATTTTTGCAAACCGAATACTGCTAGCGATGGGAAATGTATCAGAAGTGTAATCCCTGGGAATTTCCAACACTGTTTCTTGGGTCGTGAATAATTGCAGCGATAGTTTTTTTTTAACAAAGATCATAGTTTATGTAAAATAAAACTGAAATTATCTCAATTAAATTGAAAATTTATGGATAAAACAAAAGGTTTTAACATTTAACCTTTCCCCACATTCTTAAAATATATATCGATATTTTTATAATTGCCGGCTATTTCAAAAGAGCGTGCAACGGTCACACTGTCTACTATATAAGCGACTGACAATGTTCAGTTGGTAGACTAACGGTTCGCGCGCAAGAAAAACTAAAAACTAGCTAAAAAAGCGAAACAAAAGTGCATTAACAAAACGATCTATTCGTCATACCCATACTCAATTTATTGATCGAACGATCTGTCATACACTGTGTGAAATAAGTCTTTGAAAAGTGTTAGACGCAGCAAGAAACAAAAACAAAACAACAGTGACGCAAACACACACAGACATCAACCGATAGAACTCGAACCCCTAGAATTCAAAGCATGAATCTATCATTCGCTGGCTGCGGATTCCTTGGCATCTACCACGTCGGAGTCGCAGTCTGTTTCAAAAAGTATGCACCTCATCTGCTGTTGGAGAAAATTGGAGGCGCCTCGGCCGGTTCGCTGGCCGCCTGCTGTCTCCTCTGCGATTTGCCATTGGGTGAGTTATATACCAGCCTACTTCTCCCCTTTTCTCGAAAAAAAAAAAATATAAACCAGTGGTGTCGAAAAGGGGGGTATTGTGTTCTAAATAGTTTCTGGAAGTTTCTAAACATGACCTACTTTTAATATAGTTCTTAATATTAGTCTTTAAAAGTTAGTTAGTTGAAAGGGTTTAGTTTTATTTGTAGTTGAGTACCCCCCTTTGGAGGCCAACTGTTTATACAGTTGCGAAAACAGCTGACTGCAAAAACAACCACTGGCCAGTTCAGTGACTCTGTTAGTGGGAGAGAGAGCGAGATGCTGCGAGGCTCAATATAAAACGCATTTTTGAATTGATAAGCTTGTTTTGCGTTTGTAGGTCGCAAGGAAGTCAATGGGGGTCTTTCATAATATATTTTGATAGTGCCACTCCATCTACGAGTGTGTATGTGTGTGTGTTTGTCCAAATTTTCGTTGGGGGGCTCGTCTACTACGCATTTGAGAAACCTCCATCCAATCCGAACGAAAATGAGAAAAACAAGTCCCCACCATAGCCCGGGACAACGCACTTTTGTAAAACCGGCGAACCCAAAAATAAATGGGCGGGCTAGGCAAACAAGCTTACGAAGTAACACCAGAGGGTCTAAAAATAGAACCAGTTATTAAAAAAAATATATTGGCTTTAAAAACTCATAAAATAAGAAAATCTATCTTAAAAATCTATTTAAAAGTCTTGTAATATTTTGGTAACTATTTGATTGAACTCTGCTGTCTAGTATATAGACGACTTATTTCGATCAAGTTGCTGAAGGTCGAATTATTTATTTGTTTTGTATGTTTAGGAGGCCCGTTCGTCGAAAGTCGCTATGGAATTCGAGGCAAATGTTGTACTCTTGTGGAATCAGGTCTATATATAACTGGGAAATCAAAATATATATACATATTCATAGTCTTGTAATATGAGTTCTTGTTATGGTTGTAACGCTTCGTTTGTATCGTGGGTATAAACATGTCAATCATAACTATAGCTATATAGGGTTTTTGAAAACAAAAATCAGCTGGATTACTCACTAGGGGCTACTGTATATATAGTAGATCGGTAGAGGGTCTCTTATCGTTTGTTCAGGCCAATCGACAGCTATAATCGGGGAATAACGTCAGCAGAACTCGATCATAAAAATAATCAATATATATATATTTTTTTTGTTCATCCCAATGGGATGATGATCATCACCCCCGGGGAACTGGTACGCTCAATTTCCACCGACTTGGGTTTTCATTGAAGTTGATACACTGAGAAAAATACTAGAGGTCTTTAGGTCTTTCCCTTGTTTTCTATTGTGCCTTCTGGATCTATCATTACTCATTCTGGATTACACCTTTTTGCATCTTTCTACCTGTTGGTTTCCTCCACTTGCTGGAAAGTTCGTTACCCCGACCAGACCAGATGTGGCAGGTAACCAGAAAGTAGTTTCTCTTGCCACTCAGTAGTTTCAGTTACAACTTTAATTGCGGCACTTAAATTCGGGTTCGGTAGGTCTCTATATTTGATTAGTCCAGACCCGTAGCGCAACTAAAGTGGACTTTAGTCTGGTAACCCTAGGAAGGGGGTTTTGGGTTCCAAGTACAAGTACAGTAACGTCATCTAGTCATCTATCTTTTGTGAAAGTTTCCAATAAAAGGAAGTATATACTATATCTTAAAGATTAACAGCATCTATAAATCTACTTCTATTTATAACATCCTGCTACTTTTGTTATAAATTTCTATTAGACCCGAAAAAACCACTAAAATAGGGTGGTTATTTAGATAGGCACCTCATCCGGTGCTAGTTAGACCATTCACCGACCTTATCAGCAAGTCTGTGCACTTCCTCTACCATGTGGATGACCACTTGAACACGAGCCACGCGAACTCCTTGTCGGTATCGTATGATCCACCTCCACCTTAGCGACAGACATGGAAACTTCCTCCCTTTCTATAGGATCAGGGGCCATATATAATAGACTCTCTATTAGATGAGATGAGATATAGAAATCTGTAAACACACTTACATAGTATATATTTTATTTTTAGTGAGAATGCCAATGTCCGACCTTCAATTGGCTGGAAATTTTAGAAATCTCAACTGCAATTCATTCCTATATATGTATATATTATACTTTCATTGCTTATCGGTTATACCTTTATGGTTCTCCTGTTATCATGTGTGGGAGTCATGTTGTCGATTTCCGACCATCTAAAGTCCAATCGGGAGGGTGCATCAGGTTGTCTGCAAAAATAAATGAGTCAAGTGCAGTTGGTAACTTAAGTCGCAGATGGGGCTCTTTGTTTGATTCCGATTCCAGATTCAGATGGTTATCTATATAGCCGTTCTGCAGGGGCAATTATTATATGTAAGTTCGATTGACGTATTTCGCGCATTGGGGATTGGGGCTTAGTAGTTTCCTACTTTGCGAGATGATGATTAGAGCACAAAGCAAATACATATACTATCTTCGTTAGTGGACCGCAGCTGGGCTTTGCCGTTATCAGCTCTGCGGGGTCCTCTATAATGTAGGTGGCGGGCGGGCGTATCTTTCAATGATTCGTTCTCCTCCGATGCTAATGGGGAGGCACTATTGTTGATTGACACACTTTCTGCGGCCCACAAAACCAATCATAGATGTCCACAGTTGGAGCATAACCTTCTCTATGGCAGCAGCTGAGGAAGGACAGCTGCAGGGCCAAAGTTCCAGCCGCCTTTCTCCGGGTCTGGGTTAGGCCCTTTCTGGAAACCCACCCTAAAAGTGGAAACGAAAGCAGCCTTTCGAACCCGAAAATCCGTTGCCAAGTGCACAGAGAACTCATGGCATTGCAATGTGACCTACATATATACCACGAAACAGCCTTAACAGTCTATAAGAAAAGTCAATGGATATGAAAAAAACAATATAAAATATTCAAAAAAAAGAGTTAGTATTAGAACCAATTAGAATCCCCTTTTGGAAATCGAAACAAAGAACTCTTACAAGTCACAAAGCCAACAAAATACAATATAAACATAACTTTATGGCCCACTGTAAACATACATAGAATAACATTCATTACATACATTCTACATATATATACATACAATGTATGTATGTAATTTTTGTAAACTATGCGCAAGCGGAAGAGGCACATTCTTGGCCCTCTATGAGGCATACAAGCACAATATCACGTGATGTGGCCTTTGGTGCGAGTGGGACACACAGCTAAAAGGGCTGGGGCCTGATAAGAGAGAGGGAGAGGGTACCACATTACAAGAGAGCAAACTCGAATTTTTTTTTGGGTGTCAGGCCACGGAAATGGGGGGTGTGTACCTCTCCCTCCCTTTCTCTCTTTTTTGCTCTCTTTATGCTGAAAGTTTTTTTTGTTTCTTTTTTCCTTCAAGTGCCGCTACTTTCCCAATGAAAGCAACAACTGCAGGCCCACCACTCTCCCTCTCCCTACCTCCCCCCTTTGGAACTTGTTTATTAATCCATTCAAGTCGAGCCCCCAAGATATTGTATTTTTGGTGCAGCTCTCTTTGTTTATACATGTGTATGTGTGATGTTTTTTTTTTCTTCTTCTTCTCTTTTTTGTTGTTTTGGTTTCGTTTCGATTTTCCGTTAGGCCTCCGTCCTCCCAGAGAGGGGCGTTAGATGCACTTGACTCGTAACCACAAGATACATGTAACTGGAAGCGTTAAACTTTAAGATACAGTTGAAAAAAATTATAGACTTTATTATTTTATTTATTATTATATTAATGAATTTATATTAATTTTAAAATAATTCAAGGCCCCTCCCATTTCTATAAGATAATAAATAAACCTCTTTTTTCCACACGCAGCTGTTATTTTGCTTAGAAAATTCAAAACAATAACAAATTTTGAGAAGCCAGCACGTAATGCGATAGCGTTGTTTATTTGCATTTTCCCCTCAAGTATATTATGGCTGCTGCTGTTGACACACGAAAGCACACAACAAGCTTGATAGGAAATCGGGTTCCGGGAACCGGGAACCGGCCACTTATAGGCGTCCCCCCCATGAACACTTCTGACCATAAAAGTTCTTCGGCAAGGTTCCAAACTCCAAACTGTGATAGTGTTTCAATGTCATACCTCCAGAGAGCTCCAGCGATAAGTGGATGTTATGTCACTTGTTTTCCAACTATCCTGATCATATAATTCCCTCTCGAGCGGAGGAAATCGGGACAGGTCGAGACCTTATAGCTTTCGCTATTCCGCATTCTGTCTTGTCTGATGGCCTGATTCCAATTTACGTCAATTTCGGAAATTAGAAACTTTTCTATATATTGTATACTCTTCCAGGCTTATCTTCTAGATGGATTAGCATTTAATCAAAATATTTGGAAAGTACGAGCGTGTGGCACTGCCAGCAGGAGGTTGGTTTCTTATCAGCGTGGCACATGGCACATGCCGAGTTCCAAGCTAGTTTTATGGCAGCCATATAGGAGCATAGGTTCCCACACCGCCGATATATCTAGAACCTGGTCACCATTATTAATAAAACCATTTTACAAGTGGAATTTCACATATTTTCGTAGAGTCATTGCTTATCTTTCCCCCATTACTGATAAAATAATTAAACATAATTATTAATTAATTCATTCATTGGCTTATCAATTACAATCGGTTCTGGCATCGTACGATTTACAAAAACTCGCCATATATATTATTTTTTATTATTTTTATATAAACATTCTTGATTCATTGTGGAATACAAGTGAGAACATATGGTGGCTGGCCAGAGGTATAGTTGCTTATCAGCAGAATTAACTGTGTTGGGGGTCGCCTCCAAACCCCTCAAGGTTTGCACGTCACTCTCGGGCGGGAAATGGCCAAGAGCAGCACTTGACCCTTTGGATTTGGATGACACAGTGACGCACAAGCTGCGGGGCATCATCATCAGACGTAGATCGCTAATCAGGAATCGGGGGATGAGCGTGATGCTGATAGCCCACTGAACCCTCGAATATCAATGTTTTATAAGCCCGATTAGCAGCAAGGGTATTTTTTAAGAATGAGGATTCTTCTGGAAATATAACTAATAATAGAAATGATTTTTATGTTTTGCAGGCAGCATGACATCTGATTTCTTCCGGGTGGTCAACGAGGCGCGTCGCTACTCCTTAGGTCCCTTCAGTCCCTCCTTCAACATCCAGACCTGCCTGCTCGAGGGTCTGCAGAAGCATCTACCAGAGGATGCCCACAAACGGGTCAACGGCAGGCTGCACATCTCCCTGACCCGCGTCTACGACGGCAAGAATGTGATAATTTCGGAATTCGAGTCTCGGGAAGAGGTGCTCCAGGCCCTGCTCTGTGCCTGTTTTATTCCCGGATTTTCGGGCATACTGCCGCCCAAATTCCGTGGCGTCCGTTACATGGACGGTGCCTTCTCCGATAATCTGCCCATTTTGGACGAGAACACCATCACAGTTAGCCCGTTCTGCGGTGAAAGTGATATCTGCCCGCGGGACCAGAGCTCACAGCTCTTCCACCTGAATTGGGCCAACACCAGCATTGAGATCTCCCGACAGAATGTCAACCGGTTCGTGAGGATCCTCTTCCCGCCGCGTCCCGAATTCCTGTCCAAGTTCTGCCAGCAGGGATTCGATGATGCCCTTCAGTTCCTCCATCGCAACAATCTCATCAATTGCCGACGGTGTGTGGCGGTGCAGTCCACTTTCGTGGTCTCCGAAACGGTGGCCCAGCCAGAGGAGTTCGATCCCGAGTGCCGGGAATGCAAAAAGCATAGAAAGGTAAGGAAATAGATCACATTTTGGCTTAAAACTGTTTATTAATTAAGTAATTTTTGTATTTTTAGGACGCTTTAAGCTCAAACATGCCACAAACAGTGCTGGATGTGATCCAGGACTATATAGAACAAGCCAACAAGGGACTAGCCAACTGGATCTTCAAGCATCGCGGTATTAAACTTTTATCCCTGCCCGCCACAGTGCCCATGGACTTTCTACTGGCCACCATATCCAAGTGGGTTTTGGTTATATAATGAGTTATTTTTAATGATATTAATTATTTTTTTTAATTTCTTTGTAGAATCACCACTCTTACGCCCAAACTCACAAAGCAGGCAAGGATAATGGTGGAGGACTTTATTGTACAATTTAATAATGCTATGCAAATACGCCTGCTTAATAAATTTACGGTAAGCTGAGCTTATATTTAATTAATTAAATTTAAAATATTAATAAAATTTAATGCTTATAGCTCTATGACCAGCCCCATTTCGATGCCACTGGGCTTCTGCATTCCAGCCGACTCTATGGACCTCGAGTATCCATTCTCGTAGATGAATGGTAAGTTAAATGAATAATATTTAAAACAAGCTATTAACCAGAAACTTAATCTCTTTGTAGTGGTGCTACTCCTCTGGAAGACGATGTCGATAACTTTGAGCACGTCCTCAAAATGACCACGCACAACGACGCTCTCTATGCCTACTATTACACCGACAATAACACCAACAAGGTCAAAGTAACCGAAATCTTTGACTTTGACGATATGACGGAGCACGATGAACTGGCCACTGATCTGCAAATATACGAGGGATCCGTCGAGGATCATCCCAATCCCCACCAGCACAGCCACAACACGGTGGTCAGTGAATGGAATGGCGTTGAATCAGGTTGGTTGATCTCATAGATTTTATATCTAATAATCATATAAAATCATACCATTTTGTAAAGTAATGCGTAAGCATTCGTATCGTTTGAAAATTCAACCACAACCATAAACTTTCTTACAGTACAAATAATGCCCACGACACCTGAACTGCACGACGTAGCATTTTAAAGCACAATCACACACAGTTATCAGAAAATTTAATAAAACGACAATTAAAATGCACCTCCATTATATGAACCTACACAAGCACAAAGTCAAAATTTTAAATCATTTTATATCAGGTAAATGATCCGAATTTTCATTTCCAATACTTGTGTAGAGTCCAAAGTGTCCCCCCATTCATCATGCGATTTTTTAAAAAAAGATCTTTAAGCATTCAACTAATACCCTTATTTTTGGTCAATCCTCTGCAGACTTTTTCATCGATGCCCAGACACCGAGCACGGAAGAATGCAAATCTTCAACGCCCCAGTTCGCGCTGGATTTGGCGGCCGAGTCAGATGCTAGTGTCCACAGCGATCCTGAAGCTGATCAGAGCTATAGTAGCACATCGACGGCGCACAACAGCGACATGTACATAGTCATCGAATGAGCCGGAGACTCCGGAGCGGAGGATGGTCGTGGTCTCAGCTCAGTTATTGTAACGAAACATCTCCAAAGCGGCTCGTAGCAAAGCGAAAAGCCTAGTAGCGTTTCCATTAGACAGTACCTTTAGTTTTAGTACGACCAACGTATGTACCTAACTTAACTTAGCCGTATGCTGCCATTGTATCATCGTCAGTTCGTACTCGGCAATTAGCAAATAATTGCAATCTGTTATTATTCACCCTCACACCACTGTGTACGTCATCTAAATCCCATCTGTGTTTAAGTTAAATTTAAAATGTATAAACCATAAATAATAAAAAGATTAATAATTTAAAGTATTCAGACTTTTGCTTGTGGGGGTCTCTATTGGAATTACTAGGAAGATGTGCTCAGGGGAAGGCTATATCTATGGGATTATCTGCCCGATTATTAAGCGGAATGCCTTATAAATATTATAGATCGTTTCTACTTCAATCTGCATTAAAATCTAGCTACAAAATATGTGTTTTTTAGAATTTTTTAACAATTTTCTGTATGGCGCCCATCGAAAATCGTAAAAATGCATGGAAGGAAAATATGGCCCACAGCGAAGCCCATATCTTTGCCAATATTCATCCGATTCTTGAACGGCATACCTTAAACGATTTGTGGCTCGATTCTCTACCAATCTGCATCAAAATCTATAAACAAATATTTTTTAAGATTTTTTGTCAAAATTCCTGGAGGGTCCCCTTCGAAAATCGTAAAAATGCATGGAAGAAAAATATGGCCCACAGCGAAGCCCATATCTTTGCCAATATTCATCCGATTCTCAAACGGCATACCTTAAACGATTTGTGGCTCGATTCTCTACCAATCTGCATTTAAATCTAGAAACAAATATTTTTTAAGATTTTTTGTCAAAATTTCTTGAGGGTCCCCTTCGAAAATCGTAAAAATGCATGGATAGACAATATGGCCCACAGCGAAGCCCATATCTTTGCCAATATTCATCCGATTCTCAAACGGCATACCTTAAACGATTTGTGGCTCAATTCTTTACCAATCTGCATCAAAATCTAGAAACAAATATTTTTTAAGATTTTTTGTCAAAATTCCTGGAGGACCCTCCCTGGAGGTCCCCTTCGAAAATCGTAAAAATGCATGGATAGACAATATGGCCCACAGCGAAGCCCATATCTTTGCCAATATTTATCTGATTCTTAAACGGCATACCTTGAACGATTTGTTTCATTTTTTAAAACGAAAATAGTTAACATTTTTAAAATTCTGTTACTTTTCGACTATATCTTCTGGATGCAAAGTATCGATGCCATACGAGTACTTTCCAGAAACTGCACTGAGGCATTTTCAGTGCAGTCAGAAACGGTCACACTGAGAGCAATTATTTTTACTTGTAGCCGACTTTTGTTTTGTTTTAATTAAATTGATTGCCAGCCAATTGCTCAAATTTAAGTCGACAAAAGCGGAAGGAGGGCAGACACACGATGGAGGCGGTGCCGCGCTTGCATATGCTTTGGTTCGCCCTAAAATCGAGTCCCGAAGGCACCTCGTTTGCGGCTTTGAAAAAGGTAACTTAGAGCGGTGGGGCGATCGAAAAAAAAAAAAAAGTTAAGAGAGTGCTGGGGGGAAAATAAAAACAAAACAATCTGGGGGGGCCAATTAGTTAACCCAATTTATCGGACAACTAAGAATATGCGTCGCTATATGCAGAGTTCCTTGTGCTGCAGTGCCTCCGTTTTTCGTTAGGGGGAGGAGGCTCCGTTCCTTCACTTTTTGAAGCTCTCTTTGTCTGGCGCTGAGTCATCGTCATCTGATTAACAGGCCAGAATACCAGCCATTTAACAAACAAAAAGCCATAAACAAATATAAACCTACCTTTATTATATGAGATATATGAGAAATCCATTGGATATTAAATTAAACCAAAGATTGTTGCAGAGAAAAAGGTCAATGAAAGTATAAGATTATGGTCTTGTGATTAGGTTGTTTTATAATTTTAGTTTTAGGATCTTATCTATTCTGTATTCTGTACGTTTTTCTAATAAATTGGTTATAACACGAATACCAGCCTATTATCCATTCATTATCTTCCAAACAATAGCGTTATTCTATCATTATTTCACATGATGGGCTTAGAATTAGTCATAAAAGTTGTCCCATTCACTTCTAACAATGGCATACTTCCAGTACATTGCTGAATTCTACCATGAGGACCCCGAGGCCTACTCCAAGGAAGTCCACGCCCTGGAGACGCTGCGCAATCAGGCCATGCGCACGACCAAGGATGGAGCTCCGGTGATGAAGCGCTATTACTGCCAGCTCCACGCCCTCCAGAATCGGTTTCCCCAGCTGGCGGACCGCGCTATATTCACCTTCACCTGGAAGGACCTTTACCACAGTGCCGTGCACGAGGTGTCCGACCTGCGATTCGAAAGGGCAGCCGTGTTGTTTAACATCGCTGCCTCACACACCCAATCCGGGGCTTCGGTGACCCGCGGGGATGTTGATGGCATGAAGATGGCCTGCACCCACTTCCAGGCCGCAGCCTGGGCTTATGGCGAGTTGCGAGAGCGCTATGCGAATGTCAATAGTGGTGGGGACTTTATGACCCAAGAGCTTCTGGTCTTTCAGCAACAGGTGTGCTTCGCCCAGGCTCAGGAGTGCATACTGGAGAAGTCGCTGATTGACAATAGAAAGCCCCATGTTGTTGCAAAGGTGACGGCCCAGATTGTAGTCTATTACGGAGCAGCTCTGGCCGCACTACTCACCGGCGGCGATGAGGGTCCCGTAGCCCAGGTCATCGACAGTTCCGTATACAAGTTGTGGAAGAAGTACGTCCGCTTCAAAATCAACTACTTGAACTGCATCCTCTACCTGTACCAAGGCCAGCATGCCGAGGAGAAGCGCCAGATGGGCGAAAGGGTGACCCTCTACCAGGTAAGTGAATGCTTCTTTACTTACTATAATCTTTCTTTAATGATAAACATGATTACAGGCCTCTTGGGACAAGCTGGAGGAGGCTCGCAAGGAGTCCAAGGGTCTGCCCGACCAGCGGGAGATCAACGAATCCCTCAGTTTCACCGCCGATGTCGTGGAGGCCAAGCGGAAGAATGCCAAAAACGAGAACGAGTTCATCTACCACGAGGCAGTGCCTGAACTGTCCACGATTGCTGCAGTTCAGGGCGCCAACTTGGTGAACGGAATCGGCTTCCAGGTGACAGATGAGGAGCATGCCGGACCGGATATCTTTGCAAGACTGGTGCCGATGAAAGCCCACGAGGCCAGCTCTCTTTACAGCGAAGAAAAGGCCAAGGTTCTGCGGAAATATGGAGCTCTGCTAGAAGAGAAGGATACCCAGCTGGAGGCCTACATGAGCTCCCTAACGCTCGACAATCTGAACATCAACGAGGAGCAGGCCAACAAGCTGCCGCAGGGCATCGTGGATCGATGTGCCGCCTTGAATGCCAACAAAACGGCGATAAGTGACCTGGTGGAGGCCATGTCGCAGCTAGCCGAGATTACCGCCGATGTGGAGACCAATCTCAACGAGCTGTCGCAGATGCTGGAGGCCGAAAACCAGGCGGAGAGGGAGTTCCAAACGGCCAGTGGAGTACAGCGTACTCCAAACGCCCACATAACCGAATTGTCGCGAGAATTCCAGAAGTACAGTGAAGCCCACGCTCGGGCAGGGGAATCTAACAACACGCTAAGGAAGGCAATGAGCCTGCATGTGAATAACTTGAAGATCCTGGCCAGACCGTTGCCCGAAATCCAGCAACTGATGCCCAAGCTAAGTTCCGAGCTGAACACCACCGAGATCTTCAGGGACGTGAAGCTCATCCTCAACAAGGTCAACGAAATGAAGGCCCAACGGGCCCAGTTCCATGCGGACTTGAGAATCGCCATCAATGAGGACGACATCACCGGAAAGGTGATTGCCCACGGGGGTCAGGAGGGTCTGCAGGCGCTCTTCGCCACCGAACTGGCAAAGCACGACAAGATCACCCAGCTGCTGGACCAAAACATGCTGGCCCAGGCCAATATTCTGCAAGCTCTCACCGAAAACTACGCCAAGGCGGCACCGGTGCTCAAGACACTCCAGGATGTGAAGCAGAAGCGGGAGCACTTCTACAGCTCCCTGGCTGCCTCCTATGATGTCTATGAGGATCTGCTGGCCAAGTCCGCCAAGGGCTTGGAGTTCTACAAGAAGCTGGCCGGCAACGTCCAGAAACTGTTGACCCGTTTCCGTTCGGCCAGGGATGTGCAGTCCGAGGAGCGGCAGCAAAGGATGCAGAGCGTCAAGGCGGCCACCCCAGTGGTGGCTAGTAGACCGGCCCAGGAAGCAGCTCCGCCCACGCCCACCACTGTTAGTAGCACGCCCAAGCTGAGGGACTACCTGAAGGCCAAGGCAGCCATGGCAGACATTGCCAATCCAGGGTTTGTTCCCACTGTCCGTCCTGTTCCCGTGGGCTCCGAGAATCCCACCCAGGCCGCCTGCTCCACCTATGCCACAGCTCCGCCCAACGAACCGCCACCACCCTACAGCCTCCAGCAACAGCAGTATTTCGATCCCAGCGCCGCGGGCTACACCAATCCCATGTACCAGCAGCAGCAGCAAAATATTGCTCCGCCGGCCTACAAGGCCCAGCCGTCGCCCAACTCCCAGACCCTCCACGGGGCCATGGGGCAGCTGAGCATGCAGCCGGATGCCAGTACGGGAGGTTATAGCTACGGCTACCCAAGCGGAGCTGTTCCGCCACTGGCGTACGCTGCGCCTGGAGCAGCACCTGGAGCGCTGCCTGGATCGGCTCCGGCAGCTGTTGCTTCTTCGGCTGAGCAGGGTTTCAACTACCAGCAGCCCTTGTATGTGGCCACTTCAGTGAACGCCAACCCAAGTCCCAGCCATGGAGAGGTGCCCTCTTCTCTGCAGGCTCCCTATGTGGTGAATCAGGCATCGAATCCTTACCAGGCACCAGGCGGCTATCCTGGACAGAGTTATCAACAACCGGTGGCCTTTAACCAAGCATCTTCTGGCTATGGAACAGGAGCAGGACAGGCCCAGCAACCTCTGAGCTATGCTCCGAATCAGACCCAGGCTTCGGGGTATCCAGCACAGACTTCACAAGCCTCACAGCATCCACCAGCTGCGTATCCGCAATCCCAGACTCCCCAGCAGCCATCTGTCGGATATCCACAATCCCAGACTCCTCAGCAGCTGTCCACTGGATACCCAAGTCAATCTCAGCCTAGCTCAGCATATGCCCAGGCCGCTGGATACCCCCCAGTTCAGACATCGCAGCAACAGGCCGCCGGATACCCACAGTCCGCAACGCCCCAGCTACAACCCACTGGATACCCACAGGCCCCAACTCCGCAACAGCCCCTGGGATATGCCCAACCACCGGCTGGTTATGTTCCACAGCAACCCACGCTGTTTCCCTCGCAAGCTGTCCAGTCATCGCCTCAACCGACTGCAGGCCATCAATCCTCGCCAGCTGTTGCTGCTCCTGTTGCGTCTCCTGCCCCTGCTCCAGCACCCTCAGTTGCTCCAAGTCAAGCCTCCGTTCCCCCTCAAGTTCCTGCATCTTCGCAAGCTCCTTCGGCCACCTACATCAGCTACTCCAACCATCCAGGGTACAGCTTCAATCCGCAGACCGGAAACTACGAGTACAGCAGCGGATACCAGCAAGACAACAGTACCCTGAAGGGTGCCCAAGGATCCCAGGGCTACCAGTTCAGCCAGAGTGGCAAGCAACAAGCAGTGGGCACTACGGACTCGGAGAACGCCAATCGCAGTAATCCAGCAACAGGTTTCGATGTAAGTATACCTCTCATACAATTGGAGACTAGTTCACCAAGATTACCTCTTCCCCCACAGTCCCCCATCATCTCCCACACCAAGGCAAGTCTACCGGGCACGGACCCCACTTCCACCGGCGTGAATCCGGAGTCATCCAACTACTTCACAACTCAATATGGCTACCAAGGCAACGGCAGCGTCCAAAATCAGCAACAGCAGCAGGAACCACAGCACCAGCAGCCCAATCCCACGCATCAGGCGAAACCCACGGGATCCATTTACATTCAAAGTGGTGCCAGCAGCGTGGCCAACACCCAAACGACCACCAGTGGACCGCCCTACGCCTCCTCCACCAGCTCGACCACACCCCAGGTGCCGGAGGTGAAAGCTCAGCCTGTGGCGCCCAAGCCCACCAGCAATGTGGATTTGCTGAGCGACCTAGACATCGATTGCTCCGCCGCAGTGCCGCCTCCAATGCTGCCGCAGCCCGTGCTTCAGCCGCAGGTGGTGGTAGCAGCCACACCCACTCCCCCAGCGAGTCAGGTATCTGCGCCTGAAGCTGTTGTGGAATCGGTGTCCACCTCCCCGCAGGTACCTCCTCCAGCAGCAGCGGAGGAGAGCCCCTTAGCTGCAGTAACTGCTCCTGCGTCTGCACGGCGATCAAGCTTAGGCAACCTCTCCAACTGCTCGGATCTGAGCTCTCTGGAGAACTTTGACTGGGACTCTGTTTCCCTCACACATTCCGCTACCGAGAAGCAGACCAAACCTGCAGCATCTGCCAGCAATGGCACTTTCAGCAACTTTTCATTCCAAACCGAAACATTCACGGACGAGAAGACGACAAAGTATTTCCAAAAGGAGGTGGAGAGCTATGAGAAGCTCCTGGAGAACCTCCACGTCAAGATGCTAAATGGTACGACCCAGTTGGGGGCCAAGTGGCAGGAGTTGCAGAAGATACTGGACAAGGAGGCCAGCACCAATAAGCGATCCACAACCATCGCCAAACTGTTTCCCGAGAAGAATCGTTCCCTCGACTGTCTGCCCTACGATCATGCTAGGGTCAAGTTGGATAAGCAGACCGATGACTACATCAATGCTGCCTATATGAAGGTGAACTTTGAAGACTAAAATTAATAATTTTATGATCTTAAAGAATGATATTCCTCCAACAGAACCTGAGTGTTGGATGCCCCAACTTCATTGTGGCTCAGACCCCGCAGGCCAACACCATCAATGATTTTTGGTCCATGATCTGGTCGGAGAAGTCGCGTTCTGTGGTGTGTTTGCATACCACCAATGAGGTAGGTTGGAATGGGTTTTAAATCCTTAATTGTAATCCAAAATATTATATATTCTTTCAGTTATTTGATCCCTACTGGCCTCAGGACCTGGACCAACCCACACACTACGATGACTTCACGGTGACCTGTGTGAAGATTCAGCAACTAAGCCATTGCACCGAGTATCAGCTCAAGTTGTCCATGCATGGAGCCGATGCTGTGCTGGACTTGTCTCTGCTGCAGCTTAAAAAGTGGACCAAGGGGTAGGCCAACCTCTCTTAATAGAAAATATAAAGCTTTATCATGATTTAATATTCAGATCCCCCGCTCAACTGTTGGGAGTGGCTGAGAATGCTTTGGACACCCATCGGGAGCGTTGCCGGGCAGCTAATACCCCGAACTCGCCGCTCATCATGAATTGCCTGACGGGTTCGGAGCGCTCGGAACTAGTGGTCATTGGAGTATGCGCCATCATAGCCACCCAGAGCAAGCAGCCTATTTTGATAAGTAAGAACTATCAAAGTTTCAAGGAGGAGGTTTCTAACATCCTATATTTTTCCTACTCTTTCAGATGTCGTGGATGTTTGGTCTCGCATTTCCTCACAGCGTCAGAACTCCCTTCGAGATGCCGGCATCCTGGAGCAGTCCATGCAGATTGTCCTAAGCAATGCCCACAACGTGCTAAACAAACGTAAAAAAAAAACTGATTAATTCCAATAAAATAAACTATAACCTGTTCATCCATCTAGGTGGCATTATGACCTCATATCAGATGAAGATGGCGCCCCAGGTGACCGCCAAGGAGCAGCAGGAGACCAAGGATCCGCTCAACGAATTGGATGCACTCTGGAAGCTTAAATAAACGACTGACAAGCTATACCACACATTTAATAATCAAATCGAGTATTTAAACAAAAAAATATTTATAAAGAAAGGACATTGTTGGAAACAATTTAAAACGAGGGAAGAGAAAGTAGGGAAAGTATTTGAGGGAATTTCGAAATCATTTTGTAATCTATATTCTCTATATTGTATTGTAATCGTCTCTATCAACTGTTATATGGAATGTATTTCGAACGAATCGTGATGTTAATGGGATATTTTCAGAGTTTCAAAACTATACTGATATAATATTATATATAAATCCAGAACGGGATACTGTCAAACATTTATAAAACAATAAAATACGTTGAAAATCTAAGCAGTCAGTTTGTAATATCAGTCAAAAAATATTGAAGCTCCTTTTTTGAAAACCATCATGAACGTGATCCAGATTCGTTGGAAAGCCTGCGGGGCTGTTGCTTTAATGTACTTGGGGATGGTTCTAGTGTTCCTTATTTTGGATCACATGGGAATCCAACCCATAGAGCCAGCCCAACCCAAGTTATCCGAAGAAAGTCCAAGAAACCCCCTAAGAAGGACCTCTCAGAACCCCAACTGGTTCTCAAGAGATATGATAGCTAATCCGGAGACAAGACCCCGTTACAAATACAGCCATGGTAGGCAAGGTGTCAAGTACGTGATTGGAGTCCCAACTGTGGCTAGACCCAGGCGGCACTATGTGCTCAAGATGGTGAAAGGTCTGATCCAAAACATGTCTTCCAAGCAGCAGAATGATAGCCTCATTGTGATCTTTGTGGGTGAGACCAACCTAACCTTTGTCGAGGCCCTGGTGGGTTTACTGGAGTACAGTCATCCACTACATATGCAGGCGGGTCTCGTAGATGTGATTGCCCCGCCTGTGGAGTACTATCCGGACTTCTTAAGCCTCAAGATCACGTTGCAGGATGACCCGGAAAGGTCGCACTGGAGGGCCAAGCAGAATCTGGACTACATGTTCCTGATGTCCTATGCGCGCCGGAAGGGAGCCTTCTACCTGCAGCTGGAAGACGACGTGGTGGCCAATGACGGATTTCTGGAATACATCCAGAGGTTTGCCGCCTTGCACAGCCACTTCCAGCTCGCCAATCAGCCCGACTGGATTGTGATGAGCTTCTGCGACCTGGGATTCATCGGAAAACTATTTCCCGCCGCGGGGGTTAGGTCCTTTGTGTCCTATGTCCAGTTGTTCTACAACGACCAGCCCATCGACTGGCTGCTGCACAGCTTCGTGGCCCTTCAGAGCTGCCGTTGGGAGAGTATTTCCGGTCCGAAATGCCAGGAGGAGCTCGAGCTGAGATTCATCCGATCCTCGCAGTCCCAGTTCCAGCACATGGGCCAGGTGTCCTCGCTGCCGCAGAAGGTTCAGAAACGAAAGGACAAGTGCTTCAATCGGGATATTGGAAAGCAACGAATGCCCCACCTGCGGCAGCCCTTCAACCTGGTCTCCTCGCACCGGAAAAGACTTCTCCGCCAGCACAAGGACTTGGAACCTGGCGAAACCTTTATCTGGATGTACTTGCCCCAGAGGTCAAAGATGTTGCACCAACTGATGCAGGAGAAGTACAGTGGACATCAGATTCGTATCCGGAATGGCAAAGATAGTGACAGGACTCTGCCGGAGTTGGAAGTGGAGGTGGTGGAGGGGATTCCCATCCTAAAGAAGAATAGTTCGGACACCAAGGGATGTGGTTTTCTTCTCAGTTACTCCATGTCGGATAAGCCAGGGTCCTTCAGCTATATGCTTTACTACATTAGAGAGGAATACGAGGGACTTACTTGGTTCCGAAACTTCTTTTGGGACTCGGGAAGGTCTTCGGGTTGTGAATCATGGATGTTTCAGAATTTTAAGAATTTTTATTTATTTATAATTTGTTTAATATTTTTTTCATCAAAACTCTTAAGGTGTTTTTTCTAAAATTTTCAATAAAATGATATATTTATACCCTTGCAGATCGGCTATATAGTATCTGAATGATCGGAATAGCTATAACTTTGGTGTTATTAGAGTTAGAGAGTTGGGACTTCTTTTGGATTTTGCTTTTGACAAAATAATGCGTCATACCAAATTTCATAGGAATCGGGCGACTATATGTATCCTATAGCTGCCATATAACTGAAACATCGAAAATGGTATTTAATATTTGGAAAAATAATAACTTTGGTATTATTGGAGATATTAGCTTGGAAATTTTTTTAAATTTTTTATTCTAAGAATTAGGTTTTATAATAAAATTCTCATAAGGACCGGCCATATATCTCTAATATTTGCAATATTTATCTGATATTATTATACTACATCCAGTATATCAACTTCGAAGTTAGCTTTCCTTTCTTGTTTTAAAACACCTCTGCATGCTTCAAATAAAAACACAATATTTCGTTTTCAAATATTTGAATTATTTATTAAACTTATACACACATTAAACGCAATACTTGATCTTTTTTGATTTCGATTAAGCTTTAAGATGTCCCAACGCCTTATGAATATTGTAAAAATAATTCGTGTTCCTTGGGTCGGAGAGCGAGGGGGGGTTGGATGGGAAGCCTATATGCATATATGCCAGCTAGTTATTTTAAAAATTCAGTTTCGCTTTAAAAACTATTATTGTTGCTTGCTAATATTTGTATTAATTTATATTTTTTGGCAAAAACGAGTGTTTTGTGGAGAGAGAGCGTGTGCTGTAAATTATTGTTGCAAACATGACACAGGGGATATATAAAAAAATATATATATTCATATATTGTATATACCATATATATATATACCATGTATATGCAGTAGTAAGTATATGCAAAAACATTTCTTTTAATTTGTTCATTTTGTCGAAAGCAGTCTACAATTTGTTTGAATATATTTATTATACAGAGGCATATTGAAATTAAATAAGAAAAGATGTACATATTTAAAGAACCAAAGCTAAAAATATATATATTCATATATGCCTATATGCCACTGTATATTACAATTCTCGTTACTCAACAGGAACCAAGTTTTAAGGTCTTTTATATTATTATTATTATTTCTATAAAAAAATTTGGCGTTTCCAATTAGTTAAACCAATTATTAATCTGGTTAGTTGTATACTAAGACTTTTGTTTGGAATTTCGTTTTTTTCTCAGATAATTATCTTATACATTTTAGTTAATTCGTTTTTTTTTTAACTATATTTTTTATGCAAAAATTATTAACAAATCACAGTAAATAAGCAACAATGCTAAAAAATCGTGTCAATATTATATTAGTTATGGCTTTGTGTTCAACGAGTTGGCTTTATATAACGGTTTAAACTTTAAAGCATAATTTAAAATAAATACAAATTAATTTATTAATAAAAATTTAATTTAACATTTCAGCAAATTAATATTCTTGAGAATTGTGAGATTAAATTCAGCAAGTTTGGATGAGAGACAAGTTGGAATGTTTTTGTTCGGCTGGCCAATAAAAATAAGGATAACACTTAGAACTAAAAAAAAAAATAAGATTTAATAATATTCTAATACATAAAGAGACTCAATTACATAATGGGGAGAAAAGCCGCTTCAGTTACACAACAACACACACCTTGACCTACTTGGAAGGGGCACTTGTAGTTCATAAAGTCCATAAGGACATACGCAGGAATACTATGAGAGCATGGGTTTTCAATAAGTCGTTTAGCATCCTGCAAGCCAATAATATTGTCCAGGAGTTAAAGAAAACCCTAACAAATTGGTTCTGGGGCGGAAGGAGGAGGACATCTGACAATACCATTAGCTTGCAGTAGCCCACAAGTCATATCGAGTCATTCGAGGACTTTTTACTTACAACTAGGACAGTGAGGAGAGTTACATTCTGGGAGATTATATACACACTGAGATAATATGGAGGGTAAAAGCATCCTTCAAAAAATATACACACAGATTTACAGACATTAGGATCGAGAGAAGTATTCGAGATTGTTAGCAAGATCCCTAACAGCTTTAGACGAATGGGATTAGTGGGTAGGGGACTAAGGGGCTCTTCCTAATCCTCCAAATCTTGACGCTCCCGGTGGCGATGCAATAATCAGCTGCCCGCCACGAACTTCGGTTTGGCCGCATTCGCCTCGGACTTGGGATCAGTGCCCCATTCCTGCAACTCGATCTCGCTGAGGAGGGCCCAGTTCTCGCTGTCGCTGTGGACATGCAGGCGCAGCTCCTTGATGGCACCGATCTTAGCGTCCAGCTGGCCCTCGGCCACACCCATGGTGTCGAACGCGCCCACAACCAGATAGCCATCCGTGGTGGTGTTGTAGTTACTCCAAACAGAAGAGTTCTCGCTCAGTGTATCCGCCGGCAGCAGTTCCACCGTGGTGTTGTAGAACCTGTCCGACGGGTGCTCCGAATTCCCGCTCCGGAACAGATAGCGCCGCAGTTGCGTGGGTCGCTCGAATATGATTTGCACCAGATCCCCCGGCTGGGGCAGCAATCCCCAGAAGTAGGATTCGCCCCGGTAAGCTCGTTTCAGGACGTAGTTCTTGTACGGAGCTATGTTGGACTTGACCAGAGCTGGCGGATTATGGGTATGGGCGTAATACTGGGGAACCTTGCTGCCAAACTGCTTGTCTTTCAGCTTTTGAACCTTTCCCTTCAGGGAGGAGCTAGTGCCAATGTGCTGAAACAGAGACTTCCGGAAGTGCTGCCAGTACTTTGCCTTCTCCTGGTTGCAGTGCTTCTGGTCCTTGTCGGTGCGACAGACCTTCGACTCTATGAAGTAGGTGAGCAGCCAGTCCACGGGCTTGTCGTTGTAGAACATCTGGAAGTAGGTGATCAAGTAGGGCAGCTCCGCGCTCTTGAACATCTTCCCGATGAAGCCCAGCTGGCAAAAGTCCAAAACAAACCAGGCGGGCTGATCGGGCTTCGTTAAGGCGCTCTTGATCAGGGCGAATTTCTTCATGGTGGTTATAAACTGCCTCTTGGTGAGGATATCATCCTCCAGCTGGACGTAGAAGGTGCCCTTGGAGTGGGCATAGGCCATAAGGTAGGCAAAGTCGAGATTCTGCTTGCTGCGCCACTTCACCCGCTCGAGAGGATCGTTCAGAGTGATGCGAAGCCGTTCAAAGTTGGGATAGTAACTGGGTGCCGGCGCTATAATATCAATCAGTCCATTCTCCACTTGCTGCTCGAAGCTGGTCTCGATTTTCCGAGCTATCAGCTGCACAGCTTCCGGATCTGTCTCGCCAATGTAGACAATTATGAGGGTTTCGTTTTGCTCCTCCTCGTTCATGTTTTCGATTAGATTGTGCAGCGTCCCGAGGAGATAGGATTGCTTCTCCCTCCGCACAGTAGGAACTCCCAGGACAATGCTGACGTCCGTTCGCCCCTTGCTTTGCAAGTAGGCGGGGCGCAAGGAGCCTGCATCGTCGAGGAGATGCGGCAGGAAATGGTAGGCGTTCGGCAGGCGAATGTTCTGGTTCCTAGCCAGAGACCCATTCGCACCACCAGCTCGGCTGATGTGGGAGGCGTTCCTCAGGAGCGTCCTTGCCTCCGGACTGAGGCCATCCAATAGATTAACCACCTGCAGGGGTGGTGGCGGCGGAGCACTGGCCGTTATCGTTGTATTTGCCGTTTGGAGCTGGCCAAGGTATTGGGAGAGGAGAGCCACGTCCTCCTGCCGAGCACGGTACATGGACTCCAGGTACTGCAGCCGCATGTGACACTCGGCCAGGCGTTGTGTCAGCGACTGTTCGGTGGATAACTCGGGTGCCATCACCATTAGAATCACTATGCAGGGTGCCAGCACCAGGGCCGTCACAATCAGCATGCAGTTCCGCTGCCTTATCTTGAACATATTTTCCGATGCGATGCGGTTGGTGGCTTATTAAATTAATTAATATAACTATTTGCCCCGGGGCTGCGTGGCTTCCGCTTCTAGTTTACCTTTCGGCTTTGGTTCTTGCTTGTTGTGCTGGCGCCGTTCCCTTGGGTCGGCTGTCATCCTCATTCCTCCTATGACTAATGCAGGCGCTGCAATAAAAAGAAACTATTTTGTAGATGCACTCGAAAAAATAATACTGCACTTTATATAACATATGGTATATGATTTCTTAAATAATTAGGCCTTGGATCGAATGGAATTCTCGAATCATTCACACTCTAGTTATGGTAATGGTTTTTCTTAATCGTCAATTATTATTTCGTGTGTGGTGGGCGCTCTTTAAGGGGGGGTGGCCACTATGCGACTGAAGGTCGCAACGTTTAACGGTTCTTTGTAGCTCGGCTGGCATGCCTTGCCTTCCTTACCCGAGTGGGATTAACGACGTCGGTGGAGGTGGTGGTCGCAGCCAAAGTGATGACGATGCCGGCAGCTGTCGCAATTCTCGCCACATGACCTGGCCATGGGTATGGAATAATAATAATGGTTATATACTGCGCACTCGAGACGCTGTCAGGCAAGTCAGTCTGACTTGAACTTACATGGCCAAGAGCCCAGGAACCTTTGTTCTGCTCCTCCTCGCCGCCTGCGTTCGATTCGATCGGTGGGTCTGAAAAAAAGGAGGCACTTTTTTTTAGGCATGTGGTTTATGGTTTGAGGCAGAGTGGGGGATTATTAATTCCCAGTGCATGTGGGGTTAGGCCAGTAGGGCTAGTCACTCCCCCTGGTGATAGCCAAGTCCCTAATCGTGACAAGCTCATGAAATGAGTATATCCCAGGAGGCAAGGGTAATTATAAAAGGAATATTTAGTAGATTTTTTTAAATCTATATAATGCTAGTTTCCCTTGAGTACAGGGTATCATATATTCGTCATAATTGAAGACCAATGTGTGAACAATAACAATAGGTGTATATTCCCATCTTCGCACTACGTTTAGCATACGCTGGCCAAAAGTAAACAATAAACAGAAAGATAAATAGGAAAATAAACAACACCAAAAAAATTCGCACCCACCCACCCACGTCCACACCCACACCACACCACACCATCGCATCGCATCGCCCAGCACGCAAGGGAGAAGGGCAAATGTTCCCCATTGTAACCTAATACTACTCACAATTAATTAATACTCAAATATATGTATTAACAAGCACTAAATAGGAACAGATTTATTTTAGCTATTTATTTTATCCATCTATGTATATTTTGTACACTGGGTGTTGTCGTTGTCTTCTTCTTGCCCGTGCCCTTTTTTGCCGTTGCCGTTGCCCGATTCTTAGCCATACGCTTTTTCGAACGCGCTTTTTGTTGCCTGCACTTTCTTTCACATTGTTGCGTGTGGTGCCCGTGGCGTTATGTAAATTATGTGTAATTTGTTGCAGCACCGCGATTGTTTAATGTTATATACAGCTGGGAATTGGCGAGCAAAAACAACAGGCAGCAACAACAAACGGTCTGCAGTGTGACCAGTGGTGGTTAAACGACAATACATTTAATAGAGATGGAACTTTGTCTGAAATAACATTGACTTAACAGTAAGAAGACTTAACAGCGATCCGATTTTTCGACGAAAATTCAAGTTTTAAAGCTAGGTTCTTCAAATTTGGTTCTTTTTGGAACTTAAATTCTTCAAATTTAAATTTTATTATAAGACTATGTTTACTTTCTATGAAAAATTTTAATTTTCGTCGAAAAATCAGCTTTCCGGCCCATTGTGCATTCTGTTAACTAAGCCACCGGCATTCAGATTTAAAAGGAAGACTTTTCTTTATTGTATTTTTAATTCTTTCAAAATTTAAAAAAATAAAAAAATAGTAGATAAATGATGTCCTCAATTTTATTTCTTTAAAATAAAACATTTTTAATTTCATCAAAAAAGGCTAGATTAATTTCTTTTGATTTTTCTTATAGCTAGAAACGGCAACACTGAAAACAACAGGTCTCTCTGCGGCAACAATAGAAAATAATTATCTTTTTAAAAATGTATTTAACTCTTCTAAATGGCACCGGTTATGTTTTCAACGTGGATGGTATAAAAATAACTATTAAATAAGCTGATCCAAAACCTAAACCCGCTCTATCCTAAGATTACATGGAGCTGCGAACAAAACATCGAATAATGGGTGCTCCTGTGGGCACCGCAAACACCAAGGGCTGGAGCCCCAATCAGTCCAGTGAGCTGTTTTCATGACAATTATTCTTTATAAGGAAGAACCATAAAGAAAGAACTCCTCCATTTCAGATTTACCTGTAGAGCTGACGAAATTCGAAACCCAGTTGGTGTTGGATGAGCACATAGCCAAACTGGTGGATAAATCTGAGGCTTTGAAAGTTGCTCCTACGCCAGATGAAGCAGTGGAATGGAAGGCACAGTTTGACTCCCGTATTGCTGGCCAATCGGAGACTCTAAAAGCGGAAAAACTACGGGAGACTGAACGCTATATGGATAAAATCCTGGCGGGGAAGCGCAACAAGTTGGTAAAGCAGGGGCAACTGGATAAAGGTTAGTCATATGGTATGGCAGTTGATTATAGGTCTTATTATTAATCCATATTTTAGCTGCTGCCCTTAGAAGTGAAGATGTCCTCAATGAAATGGCCCAAAACTTTAAGTTCGATCCTCAAAACGCTCTGGTGGAAGTGCCATGTGAGCATCTGTGCAGGCATTGTATGTTCTAGAGAACCCCATTTACCCCATAAGGATAAATTATTCCCTTCTTGATATTTGCCAGCTGGAAAAATTATTAGCCATCCCCTCGTGGACACCAGCTCATTGAAATATCGAATTTTTAAGGATCTGTGGAAGCGAGGAAAGTTCGTGACTTCTGGGGATGCCTTTGGAGCAGATTTTCTTGTCTATCCTGGAGATCCTCTCATCTACCATGCCTCGCACATTGTCATTATCCAGGAGACACCGATTATCAAGCCACTGGACCTGGTGGCCAAGGTTCGTCTCTCGGTGATAGTCAACAAGAGCTGTGTGTTTGCCTATGAGGGCGACGATGGCGCGGGAATCCATTACCAAACTGTGACTTGGTGCAATCCCAGCAAGTGAGATAAACCTAGGCAGGTAAAATTATATTTTTATTTAGGTTACATTTTTCTAATTTCTTAAATTTATTTTAAAGTCGGATTTCTCAGAGATGTCTCTGACTTGTGAGGCAACCCAAGAGTAGCTTTTGTTTTGGCGCCGATTGGGGACTTTATTTGTATTATTTTAAGAGGGAAATTGGATACAATAACAGAGACCTCAGCGCCATCGCCGCTTCTGCTCCCGCTCTGCTTTCCCCACTCTCTGTGGCCTCTCAGTGGGAGCAGGAGGAGGAGCAGCAGCAGCAGCAGCTTGGTTGTGCCTCCCACTTGCGGTTGGAATTGTACCCAGTACACATGTTCAAGTCGGTTTATTTTGTATCCACGGCATCCACCATGAGGTGATGGTTCCAGTTTTAATGCAGGGACAAACAACAAGTTTTGTTTAATTAATTAGTGACACTAAATGGTGTTATATATGTATTTCGAAGGCCCCCACTATCACGTTTTTTTAATTTATTTGAACTTTTTAATAGAAACCGCAACTGTGATATGGCCAAGGCATTCTATTAGTGCTTAAATTTAATAGTATACTAATTAAATAATATATTTATATTAAACCATTTCAATAGTCACGAATGGGAAGCTTTCACAAATTACGAAAATGATTCATTTTCATATCATTATCGAATTCCGTACAATTATAGCCCACTGTACTTTGTTTGCGCCAATTCCAGACATGGGAGTAGGAAGAGGGTTTCAGATTCTCCTGTTTCAAAAAATATTAATTTCATTTTGCATTTTCGGTATATAAAAAATTTAAATATTTACAGTATTATTTAAAAACCCCCCTTTAAATAATATAAACGCCGACTATGATTTCACGCCCCATGCCCCATGCCCTGGCCCCCCCCCACCCAACCATGTGTGCCAATGGCGACGTTGCCAGCTGTGATATACTGATTGGAACTATAGAGGGGGTCTTTCAAATTGAATTTCTCGTGGTCCAGTATCAAAACAGAGAAAATGTAGTCTTTAATTCGCATTGTTGCTCACTTTTACCACTTTTCTCAGAGCGTTGGGTATCTGTAACTCTCCCGGGATTTGATCTGCATAGGACAGATGAGAATAGGGTCAGGTGTTTTGTTGTGTCTCTGAGATGTGTCAAAAGTAACAGGTGATTGGCATTGGAAGAGGAGCGGAGAGGCAGAGAAAAGAGAATGTAGAATGGGAGTAGGGGGCGTAAGAGCGAGCCGGCTTTTCTCCCCAGCTTGTTGTTATTGTTTACAAGGATCTGTTGATATTTTGATCCGTATTGGCTCTGAATAAAAATGATATTCCAATTCGGAATAACTAACTTTTTAAAACTAGTTTTTAGATCAACTTTCTGTTGAAAAGACTTGAAATTTAAATACCCTGAAACCACATTATTCTTATCATTTAATTTAATCCAACCGCACTATTTTTTAGTGTCGGCGTGACCCGAAACTTTCTTATCACTATTCCACGTACAAAATCGGTCGCCAGGCAAACGAAGCACGTGTGTTTTAAATCGATGTTGGAGCTGAATATTTTTACTATTTAATATTTACCAGATTTTATAGTTTTGTTTACCATCTTCCGCATTTCAGACTTTTGTCTGTCTCTCCTCTCCGGCCTGAAAACACTCTTCCCCCTCTTAATATTAAATAAATCGCATCTGGCAATGCTGTTTAACAACTGTACTTTCGAGAGGCAGCTCACGAAACCACCACCACAACCACACCACCACCACCATGAAGACGACGACGACGTGAGCGCATGACCAGAAATATTTCTCCCGTATAGAGACAGAAAATTGGTGCGCTGGCAGCGGCAGCGCGTAATTCGATCGAAGCGATTTTGTGCTCAGCAGAGCTAAAACCCAGGTCTGCGTCTCATTTCGAGTTTTTCAACGTTGGCGAGCGGACAGCAGGAGAAAAATCAACAACCAAGAGACGGGAACAGTGAGGGAAATTACCCACGGCAGTGAATTTTCTTTGGCGCTCCGGTGAGAAGATAATTTCACACGAAAAAGTGCGCTCCGAGCGGGAAAAACAATAACAATATAAAAACCCAACAAGAGACCACATTAATAAAACGCACAAAATCGGAGAAATATTGGAATATTACTGTACGACACGACGACTGTACAAAATTTATAATTTTCAATATTGTGCGTTCAACGAGTCCGATTACGGCTGTATGTGTGTGTGGTGTGTGTGGGTCTGTCTGCTGTATAGTTTCTATCGGCCCCAGAGTGTTCATGTTCGTGATCAGTTGGTTGGCGTTCCGAAAAAAATGTGTATTTTTGTGGTTTGCGCGCTATTTTTGTGGGATTTCAAGCCCAGCAACAAATTTGAAACAGAATTTTTCGTCTGAAAAGTCTCGGGCCAACAACAAAATTCCTGCGAGCGCACACATGCGTTGTCTCGTTCTCGCGAGAGCAAACCAATATGGGAGAATGAGAGAGTGAGAGGGAGAGCACAATACTAACATACACTCTTTTGGTTTTTTTTTTTTTCAATTCTCTGTTTCAGTTTCGTGAGAAGCGGCGAGGAGCAAGAGGAAGCATTCAGTAGCAAAGAGAAGTAGGAGGACCAGGAGGCGGAGGAGGAGGAGCAGGAGGGGATTTGGAAAAAATCCCGATTTAAAGAGTTTATCCATTTGGACCAGGTGAAAAACAGCCGTCGTCGTGTTGGAGACAAACAGCAGCGAATTTAACACAGCTAGTAACGCTGGAGAGGAACAACAACTGCTGGACTTGGACGCGACTGCCCTAATGTCGCTGCCCATGAACTCGCTGTATTCCCTCACCTGGGGTGATTACGGCACCAGTCTCGTGTCGGCGATCCAGTTGTTGCGCTGCCATGGCGACCTCGTCGATTGCACGCTGGCCGCCGGCGGGCGTAGTTTTCCCGCCCACAAGATTGTCCTCTGTGCCGCGTCGCCGTTCCTACTGGACTTGCTGAAGGTGAGTAATGAGTCCATCTTATATAAGTTCCTTGGTTAGGAACACTACACCTGTACTGTCGAATACTATAAAATTTCTCTTAGTGTATAGTGACGTTTTTTGGAGCTCTGCTCCAAAACCTAACCTCAAACGTGGCGTACAGTTTGTAAACAGAGAAATCCAATCGCAGAAAATAGGTTAATGTGGAGCGCAGAGAAACTTGCATACATGTCCAACATCTCGGAGATTGGCGCTCCGCTCCAAAAGTTGCCTAGAGATTTCTGTACAAGTTTTCCACTGTCAATTGAGTTGAATGAGTTGCGCTTTCAACGTCGGTCCCCCCCTTTCGCCCATGCCCGCCCCCTAGCTGGCCCCCCTTTCTTATCAACTATTGGCTTTTTTGTCGACCGAAGAGTGATGAGCGAGAAAGACAGAGAGACCTGAGCGCAGAGAGTGATGGAGCGAGAGAACCAGTTGGCCCCCTTGGCTGGTTAGGGGGGCCGAGAAGGTGGTTGGGGGGGTCGGAAAGCTGCTGCGCCAACTTTCAGGCCGCATGTGTGTGTGTTAGAGCGAGCGCAAACGAGAGCGCCAAATAAGACTGTTGGACTGTTGGAGCTTTTTTTCGACGTGTGTGATAGTATGTGTTGTTGGGTGCACACGAGCGCGACCTCTTTTTTTTGCTGGCAGAACTGTACAGATGGAACTGGCTAAGGGCATTCTTCGGAATATGCCTTCGAAATATGAAATGCTTGACTTTGTATGCCCTTCCATCCACCAAGTAGCTATGTATCTAGTCTACTAAATCACATTCTATGTTTAAAAAACAACCTTAATTAATTCTGTACTAGATTTATCAAAGTTTAGCTGAAGCTCGCAGCTAATTAACACTTTTCACAACGTGTTTACCATAAAATATTCCTCGTGCCTCAAACAGACTTTGCCCTGTCTTTTTGACCTTTTTGCACTGCCACTGGCTGTAAGGTATTCGCGATACTGTACTTTACAACTCTGCCTTTCCATTTTGGACTTTACTTTTGGATACAATTACATATTTACATTTAATTTGGAGGAGGATGTGGAGGCTTTGGCTTTCCTGACCAGAGCACTGGAATGACCAAAACAGAGCAGCGTGGCCAGCGATATAAAAACACCTGATGGGACGCCGGCTGTAGCCTCTTCTCTCCTCTCCTCTCCTCTCCTCTCAGGCACTGAAAAAAGTAAACAGAGCGTAATTTTTAAAAACGCCGCTCAGAGTGGGGAAATGTGGGGGCAAAAAAAAAAAAAAAAATGAATGTTGAACTCTGCAAGAAGAGTCCAAAATGTACAAGATGTACTGATCTCGTTACACTCACACACGTACGCAGAACACATGGCGGTCGCTCTTAGTTGCTCCCGCTCCTGCTCCCGGTCCGTCCACCCCACCAACTACCTCCTCTCAGCCCCCCTAGTGGTACGGAATTCCACTTGGAACAAAAAAAATCGATGAGCGCGAGTTCAAAGAGCGCTCTGGGGGGTGGGTGACAGGGACGGCCGATGACATTGCACTATGGGGTTTTTGACCACTTTATGTGGCATTTAATCATTTTTTAAAAGTTCTCTGATTTAAAAAAAAATTAGTGGAAATGCATTAGCAAAACATCAAACTGTTATGTCTCATACTCAAAATATTAGGTTTTATATTAATTATCAGCTGTTGCATCCGAAATAAATGCCATTTTTATAAATGCACCTTAAGCTGAACTTTGGGAAACAAATTTCAACTTTGGGAAGAGTTTTGAAATAGAAGAAAAAGAAAGTTTTCAATGCGTCCAATAATTGTTGCCTCGAAGAAGACGAATTTAACGATTCCAGCTTTTTTTTTTTTAGATAATGTTGAGATATTATAGAAAATGAAATAAATGAATAGTAAGATTAATGCTACTCTATGAAGGAAGCTTTATTTTTCAACTTTTATATGCTTTTGTATGGAAAAACACTGAAATCCGGTATTTTAAACTGATTCCCAGGGAAAGCGTTATCCGATTTGGTTCAAAATTTCTATATCTTATTAAAATAGCAACAAATATCAGCTATATAAATTTCATTAATTTATCTTTACTTTTACTCGATCGTTCCTATGGGAGCTACAGGATATAGTTTCCTGATCCGAACGATTTTCATACTATATGTGCCTAGGATTAAATAATAACGATTGGTATTAATTAATGCCACAAAAACATGTCAAAAACCCCATAGTGCATTGTAGCAGAGACAGCGGCAGCAGGGGTAGCCGATGAGAGGGGTGGTTTTTGTTTCCCAGTTCAGTTTTTGGCTCTGAGCAGCGGCTAATTAAATATCCAGAGAGAAGAGGGTGAGAGGAGAGCCGGGCTGTGCTCTTTCTTGAGCTAGGTATGCTCTGTTTTCTTTTTTAGCATCTCCTCCGGAATCTCCTCCCAATCCTGCTGAAGAATGTGCAGAGCGGGAAAAGTAAAAGCCGGTTTCTAGTTGTGTGAGTGAGCGTAGTAGAGAGTTGTGGTATGTGCGAGAGGTTTCCATCTCCATCTCCGGCTTCTCCGCTCCGCTCCGCCTTCTGTTTTTGTTTTGTTTGGCCTTTACTGTTTTTTTTTTGTTTTTGTCTCACGGCCGGGCCGGACAAATGGCGCGCTTTGCCAAGAAATGAGAAATCCCAATAGACCCGCTCTATACAGATAGTCTTCTTATCAGTTGATAATATTTTTCCCAATTATATTAAATTTTATGCTTTTTCTTTTCTCGTTTTCCAGAACACCCCATGCAAGCACCCAGTAGTGATGTTGGCCGGCGTGAATGCCAACGATCTGGAGGCGTTGCTGGAGTTCGTCTACCGCGGTGAGGTGAGCGTTGACCATGCTCAGCTACCCTCACTGCTGCAGGCTGCCCAGTGTCTGAACATCCAGGGACTGGCGCCGCAGACGGTGACCAAGGACGACTACACCACGCACTCGATACAACTACAGCACATGATACCGCAACACCATGACCAGGACCAACTGATTGCCACGATTGCCACGGCCCCCCAGCAGACGGTGCACGCCCAGGTGGTGGAGGACATCCATCATCAGGGACAGATTCTACAGACGACCACCCAGACCAATGCAGCCGGACAACAGCAAACGATTGTGACCACAGATGCGGCTAAACACGACCAGGCAGTGATTCAGGCTTTCCTACCGGCACGCAAGCGCAAGCCACGTGTTAAGAAAATGTCACGTAAGTTTAAGAAAGCTTTCTGTTGGTTTATAATATTTATAATTTCCATTATCTACACAGCTACGGCTTCGAAAATCAGCAAAGTTGACGGAATGGATACGATTATGGGCACACCGACTTCTTCACACGGATCGGGACAGGTTCTGGGCGAGAACGGAGCCGAGGGACAACTACTGACATCCACACCGATCATCAAGAGCGAAGGACAAAAGGTAGAAACGATTGTGACCATGGACCCCAATAACATGATACCGGTAACGTCAGCCAATGCGGCAACTGGCGAGATAACAACGGCGCAAGGAAGCACAAGCTCTGGCGGCAATACGAGCGGCGTATCATCCACTCCGAAGGCCAAACGAACCAAACATCCGCCCGGAACAGAAAGTGAGTGATCTTACAACTTGGAACTTTGACTTAGTAGTTCTTTGCCAACCTTTCTTAAACTAATTCTTAAATGTAACTCACTTTTTTAGAGCCACGATCACGATCACAATCGGAACAACCTGCTACTTGCCCCATTTGTTATGCTGTCATTCGTCAATCCAGGAATCTGCGGCGCCATCTCGAGCTGCGGCACTTTGCCAAACCAGGCGTTAAAAAGGAGAAGAAAAGTAAGTCCGGTAACGATACTACACTAGACACCAGCGCAGAGATGAATACCACCGCTGAGGGCGACACTACAGTGAGCGAAACGGGAACTGGATCGCAATCGGGCACAACGCCAACGAGAGTAATATCCAATACACCGCAGGCGACTGGCGCCACGATTCTGACCCAAAACGTCCTCCCTCAGCAGCAACAGCAACTGCAACAACAGCAGCAGCAGCAACAGCAACAACAACACATGACACAAACAACATTAGCGGGTGGAGGACAGCAGACAACATACATCAAACACGAGGGAGGAAGCGGGGGCGGTTCTGGGCAGCAGCAGCAGCAACAGCAGCAGCAGGGCATGCAGAATGTCATACATATTGTGGGCGATCAGGTCTTTATGCCGCAGCAGCAACAGCCGCAATCGCAGTAGCTGCCACCTGCTGAGCTGAGCCGAGCCTTCAATCATTCCAACGCCACCAATCATCCAAACAAACAAACACACACACACATTTCCAAAACACACCTTCGTATACACACACCCAAAATATTTGTAAATAACAATCAAGCAAGCAAACAAACAAACAAACAAATTCCCCGTGATCTGATCGAATGATTTACGTGTTCATTACCTGTATCATTTTTTATAATTTTTTTCATAATTAATTGCTGCGTAAGTTTTTCATTTGCAAGAATTTAATTGAAATTTGTCGCTTTTTGCAAAATAACACTATATTATGCAGTATTTTCTTGCATATTGTACTACAGAGACATACAGAGAGAGAAAAAAAAAAACAAAACAATCGCTAAAATCTAATTCGCTAATATCCACGTTAATTAATACTCGACTTATTTACTTAAATAATCTAATTAGTGTCGCAAATAATTTTTGTAAAAATTAAATGTACAATTACTTCAATCGAGGATCGCAAATCGGTTTAAGTTTCTCTATTTAAACATTATATTACAAATTGTTTAATAAAATATTATATATTTTTTTATATAACAAAAAACAAAATTAATCCCTGCCTGTGGCAAGATGTTTAATTTATTGCAATTGGCTGTTTGTTAATTTCGTTTCTCTAAGTTGCAAGAAAATACTGTTGGTCGATTTTCCAAGCTACTAACAGCTTCCCTCATCTTTGCTCCTCAAAGTTGATGTTTCCCTAAAACTAGTTGCTCTTCCTAACAAGTAGATTTCTTTTCAAATATTTATTAACAAATTAACTCATTTAAAAAATTTTAAATTATTTTGTCTGTATTGTTTCCTCTAACATCCTTCCATCTCAACACAAACTCATACTTTCCCCACCTTTCAGTAGGCTTTAAAGGACGCGTTTTGGACAAACGATGTTGCTGTAGTGTCGTCCTCTTGCTCTGTACAATCTTTTCTATATCCTTCTTTAGTAATCCTCCTGAAAGTAGGCAACCTTTTTGATTGGAAATCCTTGCTTCCTTGCAGCACCCAGTGGTAAAAAAACTGGCAGCAGCACCAGCGGCTCTGGATCGGGCGGCAGCGGATTGAGCTCCAGCGGTGGAGTGCCCCAGGTGCAGGCCGTGCAATCGCTGCACACGTTGCAGGGTGTCCAGGTGAAGAAAGATCCCGATGGCCAGCAGCAACAGCAACAAGCCCAGCAACAGCAGCAACAACAACAGCAGGCCATAGCCACATCAGGACAAGTTCAGCAGCAACAGGTGCAGCAGGTTCAGCAAGTGCAGCAGCAACAGCAGCAGCAGCAGTTGCAACATCACCAAATCATAGACTCCTCTGGCAACATAACAACGGCAACGACGAGCGCCCAGGCAGCGGCTGCCGCCCAGCAACAGGCCGGTGGCCAGCAGCAACAGCTAGTGGCCCAGGCCGGTGATGGGAGCGAGAGTGGAGGACCGCTGTCCATTGCCCAGGTTCAGACCCTGCAGGGCCATCAGATCATAGGCAATTTAAATCAGGTGAATATGACTGATTTCCAGCAACAACAACAACAGCAACAGCAGCAACAACAGCAACAACAACAGCAGCAACAGCAGCAACAACCACCACAACAGCAACAACAGCAAACACAACCACAACAGACGCTCTGATTAGACGGACGAACATAGCTCCATTTTTTAATATTCTAATTAATTTTTAATTTTGCTAAACTGCTAAAACGGATGGCGTAGAAAAATTCTAAATTAATAATACAAGTCCAGCAGTGGATGGGAATCCTCCTTCCATCAACTGCGCCGACAATTTTTAGTTATTTACGATTTTGTTGTAAAATGTTGATTTCTTTCCTACAAACCTATTATTTGTAGTTGGCTCTGTTGTAGACTTAGGATTAAGTGCGCTATGGTTACTGGATTTTACAAGCATATATCTTAGTAATGAGTAGGTTGCCCCAATACCTTAAGTGCTAGAGGACTTCTAGTCAGACTCAAGCCCAGGATCAGTGAACATATTTTGATGAATTCTGGAAAGGTTTTCTTGCTCAGGGCCTTCTAACGATCGGCCACGAGCGATTGAACCTATCTAGTTTAATATTTACAATCTTAGTTATGTAAAGAAACCTTAAACCTGATCCAAGAGACTCGCTCAAAAGGGTTTCCAATCCAAATCTATATCTTTTTGCCCACCAACCTGCCCTCAAAACGACAAAAACCCAATCCTTGTGGTTTCCCGGCTTTTGCTTTCATATTTTTGATTTAAGAACTGTGCGCTCTAATTTTATTTTTAATTCAAAACCAATTATATATATATATACATGTATATTTGTTAATTTTAATAGTTGGAAATTTTTTCTAAAAGCTTAAGACCCTGCAGTGCATCTTCAGTTATCATGAATATATCATGGAATAATTATGTTTTATGATGATATATTCCATTTATCTGAAGTGCCAATTTATTGTTAGTCTTTTTAAATACTTAAATAAAATTTAATTTTATTTAAAAACAAAACAAAAAAAAAAATAAACCAAAAAATGTTTATACAAAATTTTCTTATGTATTTTATTTTATTTTCTAAATTTTCTGTTGGTGATGGATTATTTTTAATTAGATTTATTTGTTATTTGTTTTATATTAGAATAGTTGTATGGTTTTGGTTTCCCTAGCATGAATTCCCTGGACGATTGACGAGGACCAACTGGGACAGGATTGATGTGACTAACTGCACTTGAGATGGCACCATCCAAAGATCATCATAAACCCATTTGCAGCACTGCATATTTTTAAACACATTTTAAACACTATTTTTTGCGGCACAGTACCAGATCATTAACGAATCGTTTTTTTATCTTGTCTTCTCTCTTTCTCGCTGCCACGTTTAAAAACAAAAAAATATTAAAACTATGTGTGTAACAACATTCATTCCATTCCCCCCAAAATTCATTAATTTTCATCGAAAACAATCAACCGATCAGGGCAACAATAAGAACATTTTGGTAAAGAAGGTTTTCATTTTGAAAGGCGGTAATAATACGTAATGATGAGCCAACGATATGACCAGCGGCCCTGGAGGAGGAGGAGGAGGAGGGAGCGGGCAGCCGGCGCACCATCAGCAGCAGCAACATACCAACACCAGCAACAACAACAGTAGCAGCAGCAACATCAACAGCAACAACGGTGCAACAGCAACAGTGAGCAACAGCAGCAACAACAGTAGGAGCAACACACCGTCATCCGTTGGAACGGGAGCCACATCCACGCTCCAGCGTCGCATCCTGCGCGGCCATGCAGCGCAGACCACTAGCGGCGAGCGTGTCCTGCTCATCAACTACGTACCGCAGACGGGAACTGGATCGGGGGCAACTACCGCCACCACATCCACGTCCACCCAGAGCGGCACGTCCCAAATGCCCACCCGTAAGATACTCCAGGCCAGAGCCTCGGCAGCAGCAGCAGCAGCCGCAGCGGCAGCAGGGGGAGACGCCTCGCCACCCCCGGCCACACCGCCGGCCGTCTCGTTTGCTGGCCTCGGCTCCGAGGTGACCGTCACCCTGACACGCACCAATCAGCGTGCCAGCGTGACGAGTGTCACAGCCGCCGGTCATATTGTAAGGAATCAGCAAGCCACATATTCAGCCAACACAGCATCGTCGTCGACCAGCTCGACGGCGATCCATGAGCACATAGCGACGCCAACAACGCCACCGCCTCTGGTGTTCACCCATCATCCGCACCACCATCAGCAGCAATCGCAGCAACAGCACGAGTACCATCAGGATCACCAGCTGCTGGATCAGGAGCACATCATCATCGATCACCATCAGCAGTCGGAGGATGATCAGTTGATAGAGTACGATGATAGCGGTGGAATGGAGGAGCAGCATCATCAATTGCAACTGCAGGAGGAACTGCACGATCCACAGCAGCAGGATCATCATGACGTTGTCCAAGAGGTTTATCTCCAGTAAGCGAGATCTAGGATAGGCTTTTAGTGAAATAAGTTTTTAGCCATTTCATAAATAATTGAAAGGGGGGTTACCAATAGAAATCTTTGAAGCCTTGACTTGGCTTTTAAAATTTTCATTCGAATTTCATTCAAAAACTATATAAGTATTCTAATTCCATATTTTCGGGACCCATCACTTCAGATCATGTAGATAAAAATACGCATATTTAATCCGAAAAGTAAAACTAAACTAGGTCTCTAAGGATGATATTGTTTAGCCATGTATATACATTTTGGACAAGCTCTAAAGATTAAAACATTGAAGATAAAATTCAATAAACTAGTTAATAACATATACAGATTATTTTTGTACTATACAAGATATCCTTAAAATGTGAACTGCACTCTTATAGCTAACCATTGAAGATCCAAAAGTTATGGCCAGTGGCAGATCAAGTGGAATATCATCCCGAAATCGTAATCAAATGTAAAATATATCGACTTCAATTTAGAGAAACGAAATTTCGCACATAATGCATAAATATTAATGTATTTAAGAATTACATTCTGATTGTTTAAAAACTGTTGATGCGAAAAGGCCCCAGGAATTCAAATGGGGAATGCCCTATATCTCGTCTATAGGAAAACCATACACATGTAACCCAGGGTTTGGGGCCAAGGCAATAAAGCAAGCCGGTTTGTGTACTGAAATTAAAATGAAAATGTCTTTGATTTTTCCATTAATTTAATTGTTTATTGTTTGCCTTTTTAACGGTTGCCTATACACAATGTTGTCTTCTAATTTACAAAAAGCGATTTAACAACTATTTATTAATTATTTACAGTTTCATTCTCGTTTTATACACGTAGCAAACTAAAAAGCTACAAAAACTTTATAAACTACCTTGGGTTTTTTTTTTAATTTGTATATTTAATTTACAGGAAGTTTGTTGCCAATTAAAAATTTTGACCTACGGCTGGTAAGCTTTAATTGGAGCGCTAGCAAAAGTTTTCGAATATATCGTTTTTTAATTGAATTGCGATATCTACAATAATTGTTTCTGTTTAGCAATTTAATCAGGCACTAGCTAGACAATACTTTTCGTTTTTAATAAATTGCAGCTATATGGGATGAAATAACTCTCATCCCGTTTAAAATGTCTTAAAATGCCATTTGAAAAGATTATTGTTCCAAGTTATCTTATAACACTTTTGGACCTGCATTATGTTGATTTTGTTTTTAAATGTACTTTTTTTTAACGTTGTTTCTTTAAGCATTTTGAACTTGATTTAAATTTGAGTTATCTGATTACTTTACTTGCTTTATACTTTCCTGTTTTAAATCTTGAAATATATTAACTTTTTAAGTACCAATTTTAGTTTATCTCAATCTATTAGCAGCTGAAAATGTTTGCCTTTTGTTTTCTTGTAGCAGGTTTAGAACACAGCTAGTCATTATGTGATATTATGTTGCACTATCAACTATATTGTTTGCTATTATTGCCCTGTTTATTTGGCACTTTTCATGAGGCGACTGCTGGCAAAGCACTCGCCAAAGAATCTATCCAAGGAGTGATACAGATGCGGACGCACATTGGACAGGCCATGATCCTCATCGGCATAGCTCTGTAAAGATATAGATTATTAATATAATAAAGGTTTATTCAACTTGTAGAACTCACAATCTGCTTGAAGAGAATGTCGTATCGCTCTAGGTTCTTGGCCAAAATCATAGCCTGCTGGTAGTGGACATTGTCGTCGAGAGTACCATGGACCAGCAGGTACTTCTTGCCCCGCAGTTTCTGGGCCCTCGTGCTCAGTCTGGAGTTGGAATAGCCCCCCTCATTGGTTGTGGGTAGACCCATGTATCGCTCGGTGTAAATGGAATCTGCAAGAATCAGATTAGTATTAGTATTCTTAGAAAGTAGTTTTGGGGAGACCTACCATAGTAAGCCCAGTCTGTGACTGGTGCTATGGAGGCGGCACACTTGAACACCTGATTATCATCATTGGCCAGAGCCATGGCAGCGGCATAGCCTCCATAAGACCATCCCCAGATGCCCACGTGATCGGCATCGATATAGTTGTACAGCTGAGTGAGGTTTCTAAAAAAACAGGATTTTTAAAATCAGTTGAGGATAAGGATAACTGGCATATATCTTACCGCGTTACACTGATCTGATCACTGATCTCCACGGTGCCCAATTGAAGGTAGATGGCATGGAGGAGACTCTCCCCTCGAAGGCCCGAGCCACGACCATCGATCTTGGCATAGATCACAGACTGATTGGAGGACAAGTACGTACCCCAGTCCAGCATCCACTTGGTGGTAACCTGATAATAAATACCAAGAATAAAATTATATAAAAAAATTTCGAGTTTTATGAGAGAACTCCCTACCGAATAGGAATCTGGTCCGCCGTAGACATCCACCAACATGGGGTATTTGGTATTGCCGCTGGTATCCAGATTGGGAGGCAGTTGGAGCAGCACCTTGGCCTGGAAGCCACCATCGATGTTGAATGTCAGGATCTTGTGGGAAGGCAGGGCCACGCCCTTCAGTTTGGCTCGCAGCGACTCGTTGGTTTCCCAGTCGATCACATGGGTTAGCTGGACTTGAGCTAAAAATTTCAATGATAAGTTAAGAGTTCTGGATAATATGAAGTCATAGACTCACAATTTTCATATTTCCACTCATAGATGTGGGTGGTGGGAATACCAGGACCCTGGGAGGTAATCACTATATGGTTATTGTCATTGAAGATGGCCGAGAAATAGGTCTGCTGGACATCCCCGGACTTGATGAGGTTGCATGTGAGGCACTTAGCAGTTTGCTTGGCCTGTGCCCGAATCGCATACAGATGCAGGTGCTCTGGATGCTCCTCCGTGTTGGCCATGTAGAAGATGATATCGTTGGCGCCGTCCCAGTGCAGGATGCTGTCCACCACATACTTGCCGTCGGTCAATGCCTCCGGCGTTTGGGGTTCCGAGCTAGCCACACTGGAGGTAAGGAGCTGTAGGTGCTTGTAGTTATTGTGGGGCAGGACAACAGCGAGCCGGGAACCATCATGATTTTTGAAAGGGGCGGTGTAAAGATCCACCCATCCTGTTTTTGGTTCCGTGCGATAGATCTGCGTAGGAAAGGATATTGATGGAAAATATTGAAAAGGTTTATAAGGATTCGTCACTTACAGTTTTTCGGGTGAGTCCGTTGAAGGTCACCACATAGGCGGCATTCTGAATGCGATTCATCCAGATAGACAGGACATTGTCGTCGTCCACCCAACTGACCACCGTCACAATGTAGTCGGTTTCCGTATTCAGAGCAGATGGTACCGGCATCTGGGTGACGAAGCCTTCCCTCTGCCCTCCAGCCACCGCCTTCTCCAGATCAACCATTATAAGTTGGACGCGGGGATTCGAGGATCCTGCCTTGGGGTAGGCAATCACCTGGTGCAGTGGATACTGGTAGCGCAGATCGCCGGCATCTCCGTAGTAGGGGAAGTTGATGAGGTGCGTGGACGAGTCATCGAACTTGATGAAGGCCAGCTGGGTGCCCGAGGGATTGAACCAGGTGGCCACGTTGGAGCTGAACACCTCCTCCTCGTAGACCCAGTCTGGAATGCCGTTGAGAATGCCCGCCTGTTCGTCGTTGGTCAGCACGATCTCCTCATCCAGGGCGTTCTTCTTGTAGTACAAGTTGCGGTCATAGTTGATCACCAAAGCATTTCCCGTGGGCGCCCACTGGACCATGCTCAGATAGACCTGCACGCCCTGGATGGTCAGTGCCGTGGTCTGGCTGGTGTTCAGGTTATAGAGATCGTACTCGGCTAGGAAGCTGTACCGGAAGTTCTTCTTGTAGTTCTTGGCCAAGAGCAGGAACTGCCCGTCGGCGGACTTCTCGTAGAGGACATAATGGCCGGCATTGTGCAGGAGAGGGGTTCGGACTCCAGTCTTGGCATCATACTCAATAATGGACTAGAATTTGGAACATTATTTTGGTTCAACAGTTTATTAAATTCCCTACTCACCGCACTTTCCTTGTAAATCAGACTGTTGCCATTGCTCCAGCTGCCATTGAATCTCTTGGCATATAATTGGCCGCTGAGAACATCCTCCAGGTCGATGGCATTGCCCGAGGAACCGTCGTTGGAATCAGAACTATCCTTCTCGTCAGTTCGGATAATGAAATACAGGGCAGTGGCCAGAAGAGCCAAGCCAACGATCACTGTTATGGTGGTTAGGATGATCCGCAATCGACGCTTCTTCTCCTTCGAACTCATTAGGTTCTGTTAAAAAATAAATAAAAAAAGTAATTATTATTTTAATTACAAAGGTACTCTTTCCAAAAGCGCTTGCAAGTTCATTAGCCTTAATTTCCATGTTGGGAAAATGGCTTTCCTTCCTGCAATTTCCATTCACATTTCTGTAATCAGGCGCCTTCTGGGCTGACCATGCAAGTTGGACAGGCCAAATTATACGGCCCAAACCAAGTGCGCATTTCGCTTGCTAATTTGGATACTATCTTACTGACTAATCAGTAACCCAAGACACGTATACTTAAAGGTGTATGTATGTAGGTATATGGAAAGTAACGTTGCGCATGCGCAATGACTTTTTCTTTTGCATCTCCATTCACTCAACGTTATCCACTCAAAAAAAGCGTAGCGAAGTACATGACATACACTCGAAAAAATAGGTTTTATCATAAAAATGTATTTTAAACAAGTAGTTATTAAAGAATCATTATTTTTGTCCGTGTTTTTAAGCCAGGTAGAGAGGCTTAACCAAAAAGAAATGAGCCCAAAAAGCCATATCGCATAGCGAAGAGCGAAAATGAAAGTAGTTTTTTGTTAACCAGCTCCAGACTGGGACGTCCATAACTGGTTTATGCTCTGGTCAGTATACTATCCTACAGTATAAAACCAGGTAAGACGGGAGAAAGGGGCCTAAAGGGGCTCCCCGGCATAGCAATTGCCGCATGACGTAAGCAAACAAAATCAGAAATTGCTTTTTACGTATCGAGTACACATATTTTGGACCTGTCTGGGGCTTTTGCCAAGTTTGTTGTTTCGTTTACATAATTTTACATTGCGCGATTAAATAATTGAAGTTGTCCACGCCTCTCGGAGACACCGAAATAAGAGTCTTTTTTAAGTCTTTTATTTAGCTCATGTTCGATGTGTTAATTGAGCTGTTGAAATCTATCATTAAACGAAATGCTTTTCCATTGTGTTTATTTCTGTTTTCAACGGTTTTTTGTCGATTCATGTCACTGGATTTTTGGCAGAGCGTGACACTTTTGTGTGATTTTTAAATGGGTTTAGATTATTGTTCAGATCAAGGTTATGTGGTGAGATACATTTTTGCTTGTGTCTCCTGCCAGTCATTTTGAATCCGAAACGAATGAAATTGGTACATTCTTATAAACCCATGCGGATTCGATCATTTTTATCCCAAAGAAGACTATATTTATAACAATAATTTCCGGATTCTCACGCGGATTATTTGTCAAAATTCCTGGAGTCCCCTTCGAAAATCGAAAAATGCATGGATAGACAATATGGCCCACAGCGAAGCCCATATCTTTGCCAATATTCATCCGATTCTTGAACGGCATACCTTGAACGATTTGTGGATCGATTCTCTACCAATCTGGATCAAAATCTAGAAACAAATATTTTTTAAGATTTTTTGTCAAAATTCCTGGAGGGTCCCCTTCGAAAATCGTAAAAATGCATGGATAGACAATATGGCCCACAGCGAAGCCCATATCTTTGCCAATATTCATCCGATTCTTGAACGGCATACCTTAAACGATTTGAGGCTCGATTCTCTACCAATCTGCATCAAAATCTAGAAACAAATATTTTTTAAGATTTTTTGTTCAAATTCCTGGAGGGTCCCCTTCGAAAATCGTAAAAATGCATGGATAGACAATATGGCCCACAGCGAAGCCCATATCTTTGCCAATATTCATCCGATTCTTGAACGGCATACCTTAAACGATTTGTGGCTCGATTCTCTACCAATCTGCATCAAAATCTAGAAACAAATATTTTTTTAGATTTTTTGTCCAAATTCCTGGAGGGTCCCCTTCGAAAATCGTAAAAATGCATGGATAGACAATATAGCCCACAGCGAAGCCCATATCTTTGCCAATATTCATCCGATTTTTGAACGGCATACCTTAAACGATTTGTGGCTTGATTCTCTACCAATCTGCATCAAAATCTAGAAACAAATATTTTTTTAGATTTTTTGTCAAAATTCCTGGAGGGTCCCCTTCGAAAATCGTAAAAATGCATGGACAGACAATATAGCCAACAGCGAAGCCCATATCTTTGCAAATATTCATCCGATTCTTGAACGGCATACCTTAAACGATTTGAGGCTCGATTCTCTACCAATCTGCATCAAAATCTAGAAACAAATATTTTTTAAGATTTTTTGTTCAAATTCCTGGAGGGTCCCCTTCGAAAATCGTAAAAATGCATGGATAGACAATATGGCCCACAGCGAAGCCCATATCTTTGCCAATATTCATCCGATTCTTGAACGGCATACCTTAAACGATTTGTGGCTCGATTCTCTACCAATCTGCATCAAAATCTAGAAACAAATATTTTTTTAGATTTTTTGTCAAAATTCCTGGAGGGTCCCCTTCGAAAATCGTAAAAATGCATGGACAGACAATATGGCCCACAGCGAAGCCCATATCTTTGCCAATATTCATCCGATTCTTGAACGGCATACCTTAAACGATTTGTGGCTCGATTCTCTACCAATCTGCATCAAAATCTAGAAACAAATATTTTTATAGATTTTTTGTCAAAATTCCTGGAGGGTCACCTTCGAAAATCGTAAAAATGCATGGATAGACAATATGGCCCACAGCGAAGCCCATATCTTTGCCAATATTCACCCGATTTTTGAACGGCATACCTTAAACGATTTGTGGCTCGATTCTCTACCAATCTGCATCAAAATCTAGAAACAAATATTTTTTTAGATTTTTTGTCCAAATTCCTGGAGGGTCCCCTTCGAAAATCGTAAAAATGCATGGATAGACAATATAGCCCACAGCGAAGCCCATATCTTTGCCAATATTCATCCGATTTTTGAACGGCATACCTTAAACGATTTGTGGCTTGATTCTCTACCAATCTGCATCAAAATCTAGAAACAAATATTTTTTTAGATTTTTTGTCAAAATTCCTGGAGGGTCCCCTTCGAAAATCGTAAAAATGCATGGACAGACAATATAGCCAACAGCGAAGCCCATATCTTTGCAAATATTCATCCGATTCTTAAACGGCATACCTTAAACGATTTGTGGCTCGATTCTCTACCAATCTGCATCAAAATCTAGAAACAAATATTTTTTTAGATTTTTTGTCCAAATTCCTGGAGGGTCCCCTTCGAAAATCGTAAAAATGCATGGATAGACAATATGGCCCACAGCGAAGCCCATATCTTTGCCAATATTCATCCGATTCTTGAACGGCATACCTTAAACGATTTGTGGCTCGATTCTCTACCAATCTGCATCAAAATCTAGAAACAAATATTTTTTTAGATTTTTTGTCAAAATTCCTGGAGGGTCCCCTTCGAAAATCGTAAAAATGCATGGATAGACAATATGGCCCACAGCGAAGCCCATATCTTTGCCAATATTCATCCGATTCTTGAACGGCATACCTTAAACGATTTGAGGCTCGATTCTCTACCAATCTGCATCAAAATCTAGAAACAAATATTTTTAAGATTTTTTGTTCAAATTCCTGGAGGGTCCCCTTCGAAAATCGTAAAAATGCATGGATAGACAATATGGCCCACAGCGAAGCCCATATCTTTGCCAATATTCATCCGATTCTTGAACGGCATACCTTAAACGATTTGTGGCTCGATTCTCTACCAATCTGCATCAAAATCTAGAAACAAATATTTTTTTAGATTTTTTGTCAAAACTCCTGGAGGGTCCCCTTCGAAAATCGTAAAAATGCATGGATAGACAATATGGCCCACAGCGAAGCCCATATCTTTGCCAATATTCATCCGATTCTTGAACGGCATACCTTAAACGATTTGTGGCTCGATTCTCTACCAATCTGCATCAAAATCTAGAAACAAATATTTTTTAAGATTTTTTGTTCAAATTCCTGGAGGGTCCCCTTCGAAAATCGTAAAAATGCATGGATAGACAATATGGCCCACAGCGAAGCCCATATCTTTGCCAATATTCATCCGATTCTTGAACGGCATACCTTAAACGATTTGTGGCTCGATTCTCTACCAATCTGCATCAAAATCTAGAAACAAATATTTTTTTAGATTTTTTGTCAAAATTCCTGGAGGGTCCCCTTCGAAAATCGTAAAAATGCATGGACAGACAATATGGCCCACAGCGAAGCCCATATCTTTGCCAATATTCATCCGATTCTTGAACGGCATACCTTAAACGATTTGTGGCTCGATTCTCTACCAATCTGCATCAAAATCTAGAAACAAATATTTTTTTAGATTTTTTGTCAAAATTCCTGGAGGGTCCCCTTCGAAAATCGTAAAAATGCATGGATAGACAATATGGCCAACAGCGAAGCCCATATCTTTGCCTATATTCATCCGATTCTTGAACGGCATACCTTAAACTATTTTTGGAACGATTCTCCACCAATCGTAATCGAAATCTGGAAACAAATATTTTTTAAATATTTTTTTTCAAAATTTCTGGGGGAGATCAGAAAATTGTAGATTAATTTTTTATTATTTTAAAAACTTTCTCAGAATAGGTCTGAATTCACTTTCTTGCCTTTAAATCTGGTTTCCCAGAATAAGCAAAATAAAAATGACTCGTATTAATGTCATTAGCTACCGTTCAAGAATTCTGGAAAAACCAGTTTCTGCTGCACCTATGGTATTCAGATTCTTGTATTTGCAAACTTAATGCGAACACCGTTTAATATTCAAGTTTTATAGAAACTTCACGCTAATCCCAAACAAAACCAAAGTGTGGAAGGATAGACTCGTGCTCCTTTTTTTCCCTTGAAGCCACATGACACGTGTAAGGGACTCCCCATTGACCACGTACGTAGTTCCCTGGTTGTCCCCATCCCAAAAAAACATTCTTGGCAACCAGTCCATAATATATAGTTCCATGGAGGCGAAGCTGGCAACGTCGAAGACATGTTAGTTACTACTTTGCAGCATTTTATATGTTTTGGCTTGGCATGTGTGTAGAGAATTTATGGTTCCACTTGGATTTCGTTGGCAATTGGGACTTGAGTTTGCATTTCAATGAAAACAAAAATCAGCGCGATGTATTTAAATTCTTAGTGGTCTTTTGGTTATTTATAATTTTCTTAATTAGCTCCAAGGCACCAAATTTCATGTTGTTTATGTATACTTTTAATTTTCGCACCTTAACACTTTGGAAATGAACAAATTTTCCAAATACACTTGTACATCATTTCTGATTTTAGATCAGTAATCCCATAAGAGCATTTTCTATTTTTCATAGTATTTCATAGCCGGCCACTTCAATTTGATCCATTGAACTAACGCTTGACCAACTTCAATCATATCAATGGCTATTCGGACCAACACTTTTTGTGCCTTGATTGTTTTGGGATTTCCCATTCAATTCGATGCACAATGTGGCGCAATTAGCCAGCTCACCTCACAAACTCTATGGCGCATTCATCCCACACGCCAATCTTCAAATTATTTAATAAATATGAAATTGAAAGGTTTTTTGAGGAGAGCTGTATTTTAGTCTGATCCCACACAACAGGAAACAGGAATGGATGACTGGACATCCGGCAATTAGTTGAAGTTTTCATCATTGAAGCTGTTTGGGAATTTCCACTCGAACTTCACCACATGTCGTATACTTGTTCGGCTTTGGCATCAGCTTTTTGTTTCTATCTGGCTTCAGGACGTAATCGCTGCGACGTGAGGGGCTTGACGACAACTATTTGAGGTTCATCCCCAGGACATCACAGGACCAAAAAAAACAACAACAGCAAAAAAAAAAAAATAGATGACTTTTTGTCTGGCCTTTGCTTGTTTGCTTGGGGCCAGTTTTTTTCTGGGTTGGCCATTTTTGTCGTTTGGTTTTTCAATAAACTGTCCTGAAATTAATTAATTTGCCTTATTCAGGGTGTGTTTCCTCCTAGGGGATTGCCTTTTTTTATCATTATTTTTTTTTACCCTGCTGCTAATTGTGTGTATATTTTAACGTGTTGAACTAATGAGCTGAAAGTATAAGTTGAGCTCTGGGGTTTTAACATAATTATAAAGGGTTTGAGGGGGATATTTTGATAAGGACGTGTTTATAATAGTTAATTGGAAAAGGAGTCTAAGCACTCGCTTATATCTTCCTTGTTTAGCAATTTATTATTTAATCAAAGTTACATCATATCAATGTAAATGAAACAATAAACATGTAATAGACTTTTATCCCAGGCACATTGTGGTAATGATTCCAATCAAGTCCAGAGTTTTATGTGCCACCTGTTGCCGGCAAGCCACAAAATGACAATGAGGACAACCATGAGGGGATGGGACAGAATCCACCCAATCAACCACAAAACGCCCACATTTTCGATTGATATATTAGCTACTCAGCTGCCCATTCATCTTGTGTTTATCAGGATGGACATTGTGGTCAATCAGCGGCCCATTTTCGCACTCATGGGCAAATCAATTTAATTACAGACCCAAGCAGGAGCTCTTGGGAGTGGCTATTTATCTGAATCCATGGAAGTGCAGCCAGATTAGCTGTTAAACATTTTAAGGTGGTTTTAAAACTACTTATAAAATATTATGGTTTTGCTGATTGAACATTTATATGGATATTAAAATATATGTCGAAATTGTACACTTCCCAAATGATAAGTACCCCGTTTGACGAAAGTGTGGTCAAAAATGGTAATTATGGTTTTTAAATAAATTATAAGTAATATTTATTTGAAATAAAAATAATTTTATAGTTTTAATATCCTTAAACTGGGACTCTCCATTTGCCTGTCATAGCTGGTCCATTGATGGCTTACCTTGAACCTTGACATCCCCTCCCCGAAGCTACCGGCACTGACCACATCGTCGTCCTCCAGGCTACTGCCCCCACCCAGCATCGACTCGTGCAGCTTGGCGCTCGGTCGCCGACCCACCATCGCCTTGTAGTAGTAGGGCGGATGCTGGTGACGCTGATGGTGGCCCACGTTGGCGGCAGTGTTGCTGGCGGTGGCGGTGGCAATGGCGGCATCCTCGTAGCCCATCAGCTCGATGCTTGGGTGCTCGCATTTGCAGCGGTGCGGTGGCGTCCGGTGTCCATGTTGGTGGTGTGGCAGTGGATGCGGATGTGGATGGATGTGTGGATGAAGGTGAGGATGTTGCTGTTGCTGTTGGTGTTGGTGCTGCTGACGGGCCTTGTTGCCATTGTGGTGGCTGTGACAGTTGCCGGAGTTGTTCAGGAGGGGTGGCTGGGGCGGTGGCGGTATGTCGGCGGGGGTTATATAGATCTTTCCGCCCAGTGTTTCGCCGCCCGTCTGCTTGCTGGGCCAGTGGAACTCATCAAACTCGCTGGAGCTGTTGGTCAGTTGATGTTGCAGCTGTTGCTGCTGATGTTGCTGCTGCTGCTCCCACTGCAATTGTCTTTGTTGCTGTCGCAGGCAGCTCTGTTGTTGCTGTTGCTGCTGCTGCTGGTGTTGCTTGTGGTAGCGATAATATTGATGATGTGCAGCTGCATTGGCAGTTTGATACTTGTTGTTTTTTTTATTATTGTTCCGGGGGACAAGCGAGAGAGAGAGAGGAACACACATAAAATTGGTTTGTGGACAGCACTGCCGGTTAAATCCCCACACACCCACTCTTGCCGGAGCGTGTGTGTGTGATTGTGTAATAGGGGTACGTGCGAGTCCTTTGAGGGCGAACTGTGTGTGTGTGTGTGTATTTCAAAGCGAAAGGACATCCAACGGCAAACACAAATTGAAGCAGCAACAAAGGGACAAGCATTAACTACAAGATGTTACACAACACAAAGGATACAAAACAACGTGGGGTAACATTATTTTTTGGGGATCCTTTTCAGGTCCTTTGAACTAGCCCAAAAAAAAGCAAAATAAAAACCGAGAATTTTGCTGAGATTGTAGCAACGATTTAAGTTTATAAATGTATTTTACTTAATAAATTATATATAATAAATTAAAAAACAAGGAGTAGGTATATCATTTATAATATTTATTGAAAACGTGCATCTAACTTATGACTTAAAGCTTAAACTAAAGCAAGTTAAAAATAATTTTAATTTCCTATTGGAATAGAATAAAAATTAAATTTAAAGTTTCGAACACCGATACTAATATTTAACTAGTGCTTTGAAAGTTTCGCCAACTACTTAGTTAAACTCAATTCCCTCCTAAATAAATTAGACCCGGGTCTAGCTTAAAAACCCACCAACAACAATTCCCAAATCCCGCAATGGGAAAACCGCGAAAACTAAGTTATGAAATGAAATTTGCGCCAAAGTCGGCCAAAAGTAAATAACGAAATCAAACTTGAAACGAGCCAAAAACGATGGGTACTGTGCCAGCCACAAAAAAAAGAAAATATATACATATATAAAGAGAAAACCCCAAAAAAGCCAAATAAATGGAAGGTGGAGTGCGATTTTGCGCCAAATACATTAGCTCGATTTGGTTTGGCGAGTGCAGTGCTCACCGCAATTATTTAATTACACTCTGCTACACTATCGTCCACCCCTCAAACCCTTTTCCCCTCTTCACTGACCTAAAGCCACCATGGCATCCTGGGGCCCAACACCCGCCGGATTTCGGGTTTAATCAAAGAGCCACCGAGCCAAGTCAAGCACAACACAAAGACCGGACCAGCGAGTGAACGGAACTTTTGTTGCAACTTTCGGTGCAGCCAAGCAAATCGAGGCGCGACCCTCTGAACTCACCAAATGGCGAGAGGAGAGGGGTAGTACGAGGGGGACAATGAAGAGGCGCCCACATGCAGGCGACCTTACGATACGTAAGTACGTAAGTTTCGTACGGACGGACCCTACCCGATTCGTATCGCTAATGATGATCAAATAACGACCAAATGTCGACCAACTCGCTCCCAAACACATATACACTTAGACAAAAGTCTAGTGGAAATAATAACAAATTTGATTTAAATATTTTCTAAAATATAAAAGACTGTTGAGCTTCCTTAGAAGTTCTCTTAAAACAGATCTAGACATTATTATGGTATATTTAATCTTCTTTACGGCCTTTTTAGGTTTTTACTTTTTTTTAGGAAAACCCTTAGATAGAGCCCTATAATATCTTCTCAGTGTAGTCTCTTATAGACACAGACAAAGCGGACATAAAATCGTTAGCCCACTTGGCAGGGCACCAGCAAAATTTTTGCACTCTCGCCCTTTAACTGTGTCACGGCTTCAGTCTCCATCTCCAGGCTCCCTCCAGCTTACCATATATCCTTGCCCCTTTCAGTCCTCCGACCCTCAGCCCAGTCTCTCAGCCATGCCCCAATCTTCCGGCCCCAATCATCCGCCGCCCAATGTCGTCTGGCGTAATGAGCAGTCATTCGGTTCTTTTCAAGTGGGCCTACGGGGCCAGGGGTGTGAGTACAAATGATATGTAAATACCAAACAATTCGCCATGGGCTGGCTTTGAGGTCCTATTTGATTAGTGCCTGATCAGTGCGCCAAAAAGCAGGCAACGTTTGCTTGATTTTTGGCAGGGTCGCCAAAGGACTCTAAGGATACTGTAACGAGTCATGTTAATTGAGGCCTATGCAGGGCCATAGCCAAAATCTTACAAAACAAACAAAACTCATGAACTCAAAAAAATTGAACTCTTTAAGCCCAAAGGATAAGCACTTAATGGTGATTTAATAATTGTTCTATAAACCTTATTTTTTCCCAAAGGGAATGTTTTACATGTTGGTTAGCTGGCCCAGAAAAACGTTTTCATTTCAACAAGAACACCCCAAAAATTCAAAATGCCTAGCCCTAATAAATTATATTTTTTGACACACAAGCCCACAGACCAACACGTACATACACATCTATGTATATGTATGTATGTGTAAAGGATCGTGTACGTGTGGCAAACACCTAAAATGTAGGCAATAAAATTTCAACAAAATAACCAAATGCATAAATATGTTTTAAGTGCTACGTGAATACCGCTCAGAATTGCCTTAAATATGCCCATAATTTATACAAAAAAAAAACACACATAGAAAAATCATTGTGGCCAAAATGAATATTCAAAGGAAACAAGGATATCGTGGTGAAAGTGGGAAGGTAGTCTCTCAACACTTTCACACACATTCATATATTTTTGGGGTAAGCATAACCATAAAATATGCAGAACAAACACAATTCTGTTTTCAGTAAATAGCCGGATCAAAATGCAACCAAAAATCGGTCGGCAAAAATCATAGCAAATATATATCATGCCGGCAATCAAATATTGAATATGCAAATAATCGTTGATACTTAAATTGGTTGGGATCAAAGGGTGTCAGAACTTTAATGTATTCATAGTTGTACTATGATTCATGCAGTGTTTTGTGTTTTTGTTTACTTGTTGGCAGCTTTACTAAAAGTACTCTGATGATATTAATAGTTGACAACATACCTGATCGCTTTGGGCTGTCTCAGTCACCGATACATCATTACCAGACATTTTATCTGATTATAGTTAACTCGTTCTTCAACGTCTAACTTTACATAAAGTTTAACTTTTAAGCTGCATTTTGGGGGAAAAAGAGAAACAAATTCGTTTTTGATACACATCACACAAAGTAAATATTTGGGATTTCCAGTTCGGCAATTCTATTCTTTTTGCATTCCTCGTATGCGTATTTCTTCGACATTTTTTTCCCGGATTTATTCTGACATTTTTAGCAATGATTTATTGCACACATTTTATTTGCAATTCACACACTCTTCAGAAATGTTCGCATCTGTTTCAAAGCGTTTTTATGCGCTCGCTGATTTGTTTGGCATTCTAATTGATGCCTGGATTTATTTCAACAGAGTTCACTTTTTTAACTTTGTTTAGGTACATGGAAGTTTTTGGTTGGGGACTAGGTAGCTTTTTTTAAGTTTTTAACGATTATATAGTATATAGCCCCACATGCTTGGAGGCTTTGGGGTCCTGGTGTAATTTATCCCAAGAAAATAACTGCTGCCTGTCACTTAATGCAAATTAAACAATTTAAATGAGCAAACAAACAAACCGAGAAAATCCAAAACGATGACAAGCGAAGACAAACCAAAAGAAGTTTTTGTGGCAGCCACAAACAAAAAATACAGACACGAGCCCCACCGCCGCAATGCACATAACTCGTAACTCATACGCCCCGTTGTACGAGCAGGGCTGCACGCTTATAGCATTTGTTTGTTTGTTTGCTTGTTGGCTGGTTGGATCTGGATCTGGATTGTTTGCCAGCCAGGCTGCGGTTTTCAATTGTCAGTGCCAAGCACCGAAAAAGTAGGGAAACGGAAAAGGGCAAAATAAATAAGAAATACCAAATAAATTGAATTGCGTAGCCGACTATAAAGAGGCAGCAGGCAGCGTAGGTGAGTGGAGCAAAGCCAACTGGAACAGGAGATAAAAGCACAGCGTTCGTCCCCCTCAAGGGAATCGAAAGAAAACAAAACAATGCAAGAAAACAAGAGCACAGGACGCGGTACACAGGACCAAGTCACAAACAAATGTGATAAATGCGCTGTGACCTTTTGTGGTAATGTGCATAAAATATATATTTCTAAATTGTCAACCGAGGAGAGCTGGCGAAAGAGGTCAGATTGTATTTCGATTATCAGGATTCGATTCCAAACAGATGCTGAAAGCCTGTCTATGAAACAGGATTACTCTAATGTCGATTGCTTTAAAAGCATTCGCCTGACAAATCCCCATCCTTGGGAGTTTCGTTTTCTGACTTGACACAAAACTTAAGAGTGTGGATGTCTAGCCAAAGAAATAAATTCCTGGATTTAAGCCCTAATGATGACCCATCCATTAAGTAACTTTTCAACTGACCAAGCCACATAAATATTTGCACAAAAACGGCCCATTTGAGTTGCCTATCTTGCGGTTCGAATGGAATTTGATGTCCTTTCTCAGACGGTCACATCTGCGGCGGTGCCTAAATGCATTAAATATTAATGAGTTTAAAAGCGGCAAGTAATTTGTTGTCCCTGAATGAGGGATTGGAGCGGCTCAGCTGACAAATCGACCGCTCATTGATATAGGAGTAGGAAGATACAAGCATGTATACGCCGTCTTAGCTTCCAGATGCCACTCCAGACTAAAGCTGCCAAGCTGCTAATCCGGCAGATGCAGTCTGCTCGCCGGACTATTTGATTTTTCATTTGTGCATTTGTCAAGTGGGACAACAAGAAATGGCGAGTGGCAGCCGACATCCAGCTGAAGGGGGAAACAAAGTCCGGGCCACTGGATGATGGAGGAGAAGGACCAACGGAAGTTTCATCAATTTTACACAATCCACTTAACTTGAAAAGTTCGAGGGCAGTCACTCACAGTCGTCGGTGGTGTCTACTATATATGCAAAGGGTCTGTCTGACTATTCCCTTTTTCTTTCCAATTCATTTGAATTTTTGTGGCGGCAATGAGATGAATAGCACTCCCAGCTAATTACTGGCCAATGGTCAAGTCAAGTTGCGTAAACTTTAGTCATTTTTACTATATTTTTAATTTAAAAAGGTTAAGACATAGAAATAATTTTTTTTTTAAGAATAAATACAATTTCAGAGTGATGAACTTTTTAATAATCAACATTAAGATAGAGTAAACAATAATTTGGTTAAATCCATTCATATTGATACTCTCCATATAGGTTGGCAAAAAAACACTTGCTTTCCCTGGGAAGCCTTCCCTTCCAACTCCTTTGGAAATCCAAAGAGATGTCTCTTCCGAGAGATTAAAGGTACCTCGATAGTTATCCTCCAGCAAAACAAGGATATGACTAGAATCAGCTTCAACCTGAAACCCAGCAGTCCTTTAAGATGTACCATTGTGTAAAGTTAATGCGAAGGAAATACAAAGCCACATAGCTTGACAGAGAACAGAGTCCTTCTCTATTGGCAGCGGTAAAGCCCTAATCGGGTTTGAAAACATAAGTTAGAGAAGGAAGAGTAGTCCCAAAAACAGTAGTATGACATTGTCATTGCTCTTGGCCCGGGGACTTTATAAAGTTTATATCAGCATGGCAAGTCCCAGAATGAAGGAGGCATTTCAATGCTGGCCATACAATACAAGATTTTTATATTTCAAAGCCTACTGTATCATTATATCAATGTTTTAACTTTTATTTTGAATTTGGACAATGGCTTAATGGTTCAGGTTTAACCCCTACTTGGGTTAAAACAAAAAATATCATTTAGAAGGTTAAATAAAAGGAAAGAAAATACATATAAAATATTTAACTCACAACAGATAGTAAAGTTCGTCACCTAAGTGGACTGTGTGTCGTTTTGACCACATATATTACATTAGGAATGAAATGGAATGAAACTTGTCAAGATGTCGCAAAAAAGTTTGGCTACCCCGAGCCTTTAACGATATCTTTTACTGTGAAATTTTAATATTAAATACGATAATTTTGAAGTTTTTATGATATTAAAATAGTTTCGCTAAAGATATCATAAAAGTCTCTGAAACGATCCGTTTTCGAGCTATCGAATAAGAAACAATCACTGCCACAAACTGAGAGACTAGAGCAGAGGTCGGCACGGCCCTATCTCGGGGGCATAGGAAATTTCTCTGCCCGAGCTCTGCCACACACACACAGTATAAATGTGTGAAACGTCATGCTCAAAGCCCTCTGGACTAGAGATATGTTTTCGATATCTTTTACAAAGTTTTGGCCCACTGGGTATCGATAGGTCCCTAAATTCTCAATCACTGCTTCATTGACTTTTGAGACGTCAAACGTCAAAAATCAGAAAAATCCATCAAACAGAACAAAACAAACCTTTCGATACAGTTCAGGAAACGTGCTTCATTTTCAAAAAAGTTCAAATTATATAATACGAGGATGTCTGGTTCTGATGATTCTATTGACTATGTCCCGGAAGAGGGGCCCAACCAGACTCCCGGTCCAGTAAGCCCAAATGCGGATTTGATGACTTCCCAGCCGACGAACTTTTCGTCGTCGATATCCAACACCTCGGTGGATGGCAGTAACGCTTCCGAATCGGTGAACGAGTCCTTGACCTCGGAGCCAGATATGGTGCCGGCTCTCTCTTTCGTGGATGAGATTGGCCGAAGACGTATTCGGGATCGTGTCCGTAGTCGCGCCCGCAGCCGTAGCGGGGCTCATTCGAATGCGGAGCTTGCGGGCTTGCGCACAGTGCCGGCCTCCACCAACTTGATACCCCGGGATGACTCTGAGGTCGCCAGGCCCCAAGGCAACAGACGACCTTGGAGCGCACCGAGAACTCGCTTTGGGTTACCGGCGTCCTCCACGCGTCTTCCATTTCCATATGATGCGCCTGTCAGGGGCTCAGGTTACTGGATGTCAAGGACACGCACGGGGTCGCCAGCGTCCTCCACTTCTGGGTCGGAGGCGCTGTCGCCACTACCGCCCCACATCGCCGAGTATGCCCGTGAACTTCGGGGTAATGGTGATGTCCCACCATTCCAGGCGGCCACCATCGCCTTTAATGTGTCCCAGATGGTGATCGATATGGAAGCTCGTCTGCCGATGACACCGGAACGCCGTCGTCGTATACGGCGTCACCGTCGCGCCCAGGACAGGGCGCGGGCCCAGGCTCAGGACGTTCTAAGTGAGGTAATAGACATTTCGCCCTCCAGCTCCGGAAATGACTCGGAGCGCCGACCGGAGGGCCGACCGGAGCGCCAACCGCCGAGAAATGTACCCGCGCAGGTGCGACGCCGTGGGAACAGTGTCAGCGATTGCAGCCAGTGCAGCAGTGACGAGGAACCAAATGACAAAAAGTCCAACCCCGATCCTTTGGAGGAATGGCTGTACCCTGTCTAGATGCGTTTCGTTTCACTAATTCGACAGAATCTTCAATAAAAGTTTGTGTATTTGAATATGATAGTCACCCCTCTATTTCTAGAATCAATTTTATAAGATCTAAAATCTCCTTAAGAAGAAAACCACTTTCAGCTTACTTTCAAGTTGCCGCCTAGACTTCATGCAACTTGTTGAATTCTTAAAGGTCTTCTCGTTCTGATGGAAGCAGGAGCTTTTTTTCTGCTCCTTTGTTTTCCCAGGATGCTGGCCCTGCTGCCACTTCATACGGGGCAGAGTGTTTATGTGCAGATGGTGCCGAGAGGATGGGGGAAAAGTTGAAAATAATAATGAATTTGCGGCATGCCACACAAACACTTGCTGCGGCCGCAACATGCGCCAGATTTTAGTCCGGATATCAGCAGTAGCTTTAGCTGCACATGCATCAGCTCCGGCCGGAGTCCAATCCCACACGGCCAAAAAGGCTAACAACTTGCCTTGCAACAAAATTCTGTTAATGGATATCCAGAGTAGGGGGTGGCATTAAAAAATTAAATTTTTTTAATAGAACATAGGTAAGAAAAATGCACTTTAAGAGGAAGATTATTAATTAAAATATTTATTAAATTAATCTTTGACTTTAATATAAATATTGAGAGATAAGAGAGTAATTTTTCCTTTCTTAAAAACTTGAAATAATTCTAGAGTAACTCCTCTTTTTTCCTTCCTGTGCATTCTCAATGCCATCCTGGCACATCCTTGCCCTCTTCTATCTTCTATCCCCCAGACCCATTCACTCACTCATTCTGTAACCCACTGTGCGGCATGTGTGGCAGCTAATATGTTGGCTTGGCAGTGTCGCCTCTTGGAGTCGTTGAAAAATGCACTGACATGTGCCACAGCTGCTGCCTGCCCCCCTCCTCCTCGTTGTAGCACCACCCCCCCGCCTGGAAAGAAATGTACAGGGCTGGGCTACTGCGTGAATTCTCCTAGAGGGGGCGTGTTGATGCGCCGAACAATGGCTATAAAAAGGATTAACTTGCATAACAAAAGAGATCGGATGGAGGGGTGGGGTATTGGGCGGCTAAAATGGCGCCAAAGGGGGCGTGAGGGAGGCTTGGACCAGGCTTGGAGCTTGGCGTATAAATTTCAACAGCAAGAGCAGCAAACCGAAGACTCGGCATTGGTCGAGTTCCAAATTTATGGCCCACACCCTCTTCCAAGGGCATATGGTTTAAGAATTGCTTTCCATTGTTTATCTGAGATTTGGAAAGTTAAGGTTTTTAAATGGGGAATGCATAAAAATAAATATATTCGTGTTGAAACTTTCTTTAAAATGGTTTTAAAGTCAGGCACTTGTTTTATTTTGTTTCAAAATAGTTTTATGTTTTAAGTTTTATTGAAAGGCTTATTTTTTATTTTTCTATAAAATAGTTCAGAAACTTTATTTCCCAGCCTTTCATCAAAACAATTTGGCTTTTATTTGAATTCAAACTGCCACCTTATTGGTTTTTATTTGTTGGTCTAACGAATAGAATTTCCTATTGTCGGATGGTTAACAGAACGTGCGCCCCCTGCCCCGACCCCTGGACCACTGCACCCCCTGATATACCGCCCCCTTCTAATAGCCATCTGTCCATCCTTGTGGCGCCTCGAAATAAAAAAAAAGAAAGAGGGAATTTTCAGTCAACTGCAACTGCTGCAATTTCTCATTTTAATAAAAATGCAAATGTCGCTGGCTGAAGAAAGTCAAGTCAGTCATCGGACTGTCTCTTTCTATTATCGCTACTTCCATCTCTTTCTCTCTTGGTTGCCATTTCTTTTTGTTTTTTATTTTCCTTTCTCCCCGCCAAGTTTTACTTTGCTCATATTAAACGCCAGCAAACTTTTCGATTTTACGGTATAAGGATAGGAACTGCAGAGGAATGAGTAGAGTCAGGGATGCCCCCATCACATACCCAAAAACAAAAGCAACCAGCCAGGATGCGGAAAGAAAGAGCAAAAATAAAATGGAAAAAATTGCAAGACAAATAAGTTTTCAATAAGGTCCTTAAGAATGTTAAAAGGAATGAAAATAGAGGATTGCACTCAGCTAAAGGTTGAGTAAAACAAAGTGTCAGTTTACAGCTGTCAGGACCCGGAGGACATAAGGCATTTTCCGTCCACCGAATCGTTGCAGCCATTTCTGGGCAATGTCCTGCCCTTTTCCGGTCCTGTTGCTGCTTCGCACTCGTAGTTGTGACCGCCAGATGGCGCTAACAAAAATGCAAGATGGCGGAAAAAATAATTTTCTTGATGATTCTGGTCTTGAGACAAATTCTTTTAATAAAATTAAGATAATTAAATGCTTTGAAAAATATTTTTAAAATTGTATATATTAAAAACTTTTATCCTGCCACGATTTGTTCCGATTGCCATCCTCACACCTTGTACAGGAGACCCACATAACAAACATCAGGCATCAAGCCGTGCAGACCGGGCTTAATTAATCTAATTGAAATAATGGCAACGACAGGCGAGAGTCACACATATAGAGCAGCTTAGGGGCACTAATAACGGCTAAGGACAATGCCAGGCTCCCTGCAAAACGGTTCCCCAGATGGCAGCTGTGTGTCGTGAATCTCGGCAACAAAAGGCTCTTTGTTTAGTGTTTAGGTGGGCGAGCTGCGTGGAGCTGAAGTGGGCACTTCTTTAGACAACCAAGCTGGGAATCAATTTAATTGGGTATCTCTTTAAAGACCGGGACGTGCTTAGAGACAATTTATAAGTAAACCAAAAAATAGAACGTTCTACACAATTTAATTTTGATGATTACAGCAGATGACCTGACTAAAAAACCCTTTCGAAGAAACATTTTCCAGAGATCGTTACAGTTTGGCAACAGTTTGAGGCCCTGATCCTTCGGCCGCTTTCCCTTTAGCGTCCTTAACTTCGTCCGGCTTGCCCACATATTTTTCCACTGTGCTGACCACTTTACTCACATTGCTACCCACGAACTGGACGAGGGTCACACGATTCTTGATAATCAAAAAAGTCGGCATACTGTTAATCTCGTACTGCAAGGCCAGTTCCTCATTCTCGTCCACGTCGATCTTCATGACGATCATTCTGTTATTGTATTCCACCGCCAATTGTTCCAATCGTGGACCAATCATCGCACATGGACCACACCAAGTGGCAAAAAACTCGACAAGGATGTGTCTATTGGGTCCTGCATCCTCGAGCATCTTGTCAAATAGGCTTTTCGATTCTACAACGATCACTTTCTTCTGGGAAGCCATCGGTCACTGCTAATTTTTATTCCCTTTGGTCTAAATTGTTACTCAAAGTTTAGAATTTATTTGCCCGATCCTAGTCTTTAGGCTTATTTTTTAGGAGGCTTTGAATGATAAGTGACTAACATGTCTTAGCTGGTTGCGTTTTGCCATTTTCTAAGTAGAGTTCTGGCTAATGGAGAAGGGCGTTCTGGGCGTTTCTTGTTGGCACTTTTCTGGTTTCTAGTTTCTTTTTATTTTTGTAAGAGTTAGGACCAGACTTTAGTGGCAATATTCTGGCAAGTATTTTACGTTTTTTACTCTATGAGAGGGTATACTACTATGTATAATAGGCTCAAGGTGGTTAAAGACATTTTGACGATATATTAATTCATTTTTAAACCCACTATTTTAAGAAATCTCTATAGTTTTCACATTACATTTTTTTTAAGACTTTATGTACTCTTCTTAGTACTTCCTCATAGTTTCTCATACCGGTATCTGTGTATTTATCTTGTCCTGCACTTGTCACAAATTAAGACAAATGCACCCCAGAAACTAAAGTGTGCAACGTTGGAATCACGCCTCCTTCTAAGTTGTGTGGCATGTGTTTGCTTGCCACAATGCGGGCGTTTGTTATCTCTTGAGTGTGTTTACCTAAGCCTTTCTCCGACTGTCTTTTGTTTTCTTTTACATTTTTTCTTGCCGTCTTTACTAGCTTACGAACATTTTTTTATTTTTTGCTCTGTAGTATGTATTTTTTTCACGTGGCAGCTTGTGGTCTAAGCCCACACTAAAAGTGTATCTTTCAGTTTGATTCTGAAATGCTGTGGGCCAGGCTCTTAATGCGCTTGGCACTTGACATTGAGATAGTTGTTGATAAACCAGAGCCTTTTAGGGAGTCACTTAGAAAAAAGAAAATTAAGCACTGCTAGAAACCCTAACTAAAATATTAAAATTCCTTCTTAATTGGGAAACTTTTCTCGCACTGTTTCTATCAGTTCACCTTGCATAACGTAATGAGCGACGGCTAAGCGCTAAAATGGCGTCGAAACGAAATGGAATGGAACGGAAATGACTGCCTCGTGTAGAGCAACTGTGCAGCTATATACATAGATAGTACACATGTATGCCACGCGGCTGTTGTGCAATCAGTTTCACATCCGGCAGTCGCGAAGGATTTGCGTTGAAAGTGCTGACCTCGCCGCACCTTGACACACAGCAACGTCAGGTGAAAGGTAATAAAAAAAAAAATAGCAAACACACCAAAAACTAAAAAGAAACAAGACATTTGGGTATAAGCTTAGCATCTAGTGAAAGTATTTGCCAGATATATATTCCTATGTTTTTGACGATGTACGAGGCGAGTGGAATAAGTCACGTAGTCGGCAAGACAAATTGCTTCAAGTGCATGGAAAGGCACTCGTGGACATTCACTCAGTTTTCCTCGGGCTAGTAAGTTATGTGGTTAGACAGTTATTTTTATTGCGCATACGCCATGTAGCCCAGCCATGTGGCTGGCATGCGGAATAAACATATATCCTTCGACTATAAAATGGTATTTGTACGCGTTTTGCGGTCAACTGCAAAAATGGGGTCGAGTCTGAAGCGCAGGCGGAGATTATTGTCTCCTTCGCGGAAATCATGTCACAAATCAAATTGTTCTAGGAAGCATTTTTAGGGTCGTTCATACATCGATTTCCGGTTCGGATTTATAGTTAACCTATCATGTTCACATCCCTCTATGATGTCTGCAGGAAATCTCAGAAATTCGTTATCCATAGTGTGAAGTTTATATGTATGTTTGGAAAAGCATTCCAGCTAAAGCCGCACAAATTCCCTCTGCCATTTTCATTTCTGCCCCTCGAGTAACTATGCTATTAGAGTTTTCCAGACTATCTGCAGTTAAGTTCTTTTCGTTTTTCGGCCAACAGGTCAGCTGGCATTTTGTGTGCGTTCCAGGGCGCATAATTGGCTTTTGTTTTTGGGGCGAGGAACAACATCGCAGCATTATGGAGCACGTTTAAGGATGTCAATGCCAGATGCTGGCTGACAAAATGATGAACAATCCGAGAACAAAACAGAGAACAGACTACAAGTCCAAATAGCATAGTGTGCCAATGCTAGCCGGGTAGAGCAAAACAAAGGCAGAAGCAACAGCAATGCCAACACCGAACGGCAATTCCATTTAACAAGTTTATGAGCTCGGCCAGGCGACAATGAAATTCTCGTGCATTAGGATTTTTGAGTGCCGAGTAGGTTGTTTCTAAAGGCCCAACATCCTGCATTACATTCCTATCCGTTTCCTGTCTTGATACACGGAAAGAAATGGTAAAGGATTTTAAAGAAATACGAAATAGTATTTATAGAATGGTGTGTAGTTACTTCTTAAAATATAAAGTTGTCAGAGCCTCGATTCTACCTATTTCTCTATCAGCCAGTTCTTGTAGTTTCCTTGCAGTACTCCTGGCAACCGTGTCTTCTGTCAATGTATGAAAATCTTCCGAGAATACAACGAAATTTTATTTGCTGCCAAAATTTGATGCTCGAACCGAAGCTAGAGATTTTCCTGCTTTTGTCGTCCTTGTACTGGTTCTGGTACTGGTTTTTGGGTTTGGGTATTTTGCCTGCTTTCTGGCGAGAACCCCTAACCACATGACAGTTGGCATTTGGCGGTCCTGAGCCTTGTAATGAGTTTCGGTGTGTGTGTGTGGGTGGCAGGATAAACGGGAGTAACAGGAGGCGTTGGCGCATAAACAGGACTCCGAAACACGCCCGGCTCTTTCGAGCATTCACAGTTTTTACAAGCTGCTAATGTGGGCCCGCCCTTTGTTGTTTTTGTGTTCATCCTGAAGCTGGTTGGATGGGATTTGCATTTGGTTGTTGAATTTGGCAGGCGGCAGAAGTCCTTTTATGTTCTGGCTTTGGCGGGTATCCGCAAATTGAAGGCCTGCAACTCATTCGTGGCATGAAGGGAAAGGACTCTGATCGACCCAGAGGAAATTGGGCTCACTGAACTCGGCGCGGCTGGAGTGGCTTGGAGGGTACTTGGAATTTATTTAACTATAAATTCCCTAATTGAGCTTTGGGGTTTCTCGAGAAGCCTAATTCAGGTTATACTTTAGGATAAAGTTGACAAAAAATATTATCCTGTAGAAAAGTCTTCTCGACTAGTAATTGATTTTTGAAGTGACTGTACGTGACGTAGATCGTTTGCCGCAATAATTAATCACTTTAAAATGCAAATATTTCGCCAATACCCAACTGACAGCCTGCTAAGCGCCTCAATAAACTAAATGCCAAAACCAGAAAACTTCCGGCTCCGGGAGGAGCCCAAAACCCCTTGGCAAAGCCCATTGCCTTCTCCTTAACTTGGCTAAAGTTTCAATCAATCAAATGCCATGATAGAAATCATCAACAGAAGGCTGTAAGCAAAAAGGATAAAGGCGGCTGAGCAACTCCCAGCAGAGCCACCAACGAGTGGCATTAAAACCACATGTGCCTTAACATTTTATACATCCAGATGGCTGACGGAGTAGCTCCTTTCCCGAATGGGTTGCCCTTGTCCGGGTGCTTCGATTTCTTTGCCACGCCCCTCGCCCCCTGAGTGGCTGCCTAACAAGCTGCGTCAACAAACTAAACCACTTTGAAATTAACACGTTACATTGACATTGACAGCTTTATGCGTGGCATGCCAAGTGTCGCAGTAACTAGGACTGGAGACTAGGAGAGAGCTTGTGCCAGGAACAGGAGTACACTTCAAGAAACATAAAGTTTATGTGTTTTTTTAAGAAGAAGAATATAGATATGAGGAGATATTTTATTTAAAGTGTAGGAGCGGTTGGGGCATTGGCAAGCTGTCACTTGCTGAAGTATCGCTCGCTGGGCGGGAAAATTTCACGCAAGCCTGGGAATCGCACAAAAGCGGAAGTCGCGCAAAAAAGGCAATTTCCGTTGTGCGGTATGAGCAGGCGCAGATATGGCCGGGTATTTGGATGGGGTGCGGTATGATGGCATCTTCTTCGACGATGGAATTACCAATTCAAATGTCAGACTATGGTAAAGCACTTCATGCGGAATTAAATTCAGTGTCAATTGGTCTCCCGCCTAACGAGATTCGTTGGCTGATTCGGAAGCTCCTTGAATCCGAATGTAAGGATTCGGATCCGTTTCCAGGCCAACTCAAGCCATTAGTTACACGGCAAGGTTAAGGCAAAGGCTTAAAGTGCCCCCTTTAAACATGCCACCAACCAAAAAACCTTTCTTTTTTTTCAGTTTCCTTCAACCCAAACAATTTTTCAACTTCTCCACCTTTTTCCTTCTTTTTATTTTATTTTTTGTTAATTTTGGTGCGTGCCTGAGAACTGACCCAACCGAATTTATGTTTGGTTGGACTTAGCTGCTCCCAAATCCCAAATAAGAGTAAAAGCAAAAATTAGTTAAGGGCATGGGCCACCCATCCACCTCGGGGGCAATGAAAAGTGCGCGTACTGCAAAAGCAAACTGTGCGGAAATATTTAAGGACCGGAGAGCTCTCTCGGATTCGTTTGTTCGCGGTTCTCCAGTGCTGTTGGCGATAATTGGCAGTGCTCGAGAAGAGCCCGGAGACCGCAATCTATATGCCACAAGAATCGGTATTGCCTAGATTATAGTTCCAAGTTTTTTTTGTCGCTGCTGATGTCGGTGTGCTGTTATCAGGCCTATAATCTTTATGGTTGATATATGAAGCATTGTTACAGGGCAATTTTTACTATCAATTGTAAAGTTAAAATGGGTCTCTAAAACAGAAAGTCAAGGTACTGCGATTAGAAAATACAGTTTCACCCAATAATACCTTTTAAAGGTGAAATATATCCTCCATTTCTATGCTAAAGGAGAGAAAAAACAAAATAGTAAAGCCTGTGCCAACTTTACAAATATTTTATGCAGACATGCCGGCAACAGCAGGACTTTTCGGGCAACATTTCACGACTTTTTTATGCTTTGTGTCCCCATAGTAAAAATTGAATTATATAGCACGAAAATTCGTCCTTTTGGGGTTATTTGAGGATTTGATTGCCTTTTGATTTTCGTCCTGTTCACTTTGCAATTTCACCCTGCCCTCTCCTGCAGGCAGACAATAATATCCAAACAATAGATTTGTTGCCTCAGCAATTTGTTTA